CCAACCCTGGTTTCCTGTGAATGCTCAGAAAATGTACATATCTAGGGATTCAAAGTTAAAAAAGAAAAAAAAAAAAAAGCTTTCTCTGGTTGCTCCAATAATATTATGGAAAGATCTACTAGTATATTATTAGCCCTCATTCCAACCTCCTACAGTTTTGGAGACATGAGGTAACTAACCGACAGAACACAGGGACACTGTCCTAACCTCAACAGCCCAGAGACATTGGCCTAATCTAGGTCCATCACAGCTTCAGGGGTAACCTTGGCTAAATTCCTTCATATCTCAATTTCCTAATGCTTTCACAGAGAGGGTTCAAAATGCTGTTGTTTCCCAACAGGAGTATTACAATGAATCATTACAAATGTGAACTTACTGGTAACAGATGTTACATGAAAAGGTAATAAAGACAATTCTGTACATTTGCTTCCTAATTAGAAAACTATCTTAAGGTTTCATTGCTTTTTTGTTTCTTCCATACTTCTTAGTTTTATATTAGCATGAAAACAAAACTAGATTCTTCCATTTCATTTCTTTTATTGAGGTCAGCAGTATCTGCTGACAGGTTTGTGGGTTTCTTGCAACCGGGCCCAGCAGAAAAATCTCCTTGTAAGTGAGCATTCAAAAGACAGTGTTTGAATGAATTACTGGCTTATTTTCTATATGATAATTTCCTTATAACCAATCTTCCAGTTATGTATCTTTCAGTTCTCAAGGATCACCTGTGGATAAGGGATAACCACTGATGTTAATCATTCATAAAATATGCTCACGACACACTTTTTTGGAAATTGTTATGCAAAGCAAAGGACTCCCCAACCAACACTGCTTTCTTTAAAAATGGATACTTTCTAATTACAGCCTTAACTTTAGAATACTGAATGATGTTAACACTTGATTCCTGATTTCACTCACGTGAAATGGAAAACTCAAGACAGAAGGATAAAGATATATATTTTACCTTATATTCCATCACTCGGAGAAACAATCTTCCATTTTTTAAGGATTTTCCTTCATGGTGGCCATTTATCACAGAACAGAAGATTTTATATATATAGATTTTATATATACATAGAAGATTATATATATATATATATAATGTGGTAAGTTCATATTTTTGATAGATGATGCTACCATTTTTTAAAAAAGAAAATGTATAACTATGGGACAACTGTTATTTTTAAGTTCAAAAGATGAAATCACAATTTTATACTGCTTTACAACCCATGAATTATCTAATTTGTTGTCCAGACTTCCCATTTTGGAAGTTGGGGAATATTTTCAATTGGATGGCAATCTGAAAACAAAAACAAAGAGTTTGTAAGACAGGTAAATTCCCCTTGTTTGATTATAAACTAGGCTGTAGTACCAAAGTGTTTCCTGGGAGCTTTGTTCATAAGAAAAAAAATGATGAACCATTTAAATTATGTTTTCAGTTCTGGGATTTCAAAATATCAATGCTTTTCCACCCTCCAGATACCACAAACTAAAAAGCATGTGGGAGGGGGTAGAATATATATGTATTGTTATATGTCTACTATATATGTATTCACAGAAGAAAAAAAAATTCCTCCATTAATATGCTTCCAAATCCTCAATTTGCCTACCTAATTAAGTTCTCAAAAGCTCCCTTCTGGTGAATACTTCTAGTATCCTCAAAATGAAGTCCCACATTCCTGGCCCTAACCTTAGAACTCCATCATCAGATTCTAAGAGTGAGCCCTGGCATTTACATTCCTTAAGATGAATTTAAATTATTCTGAAATACCCTAATCCTGCATGTAAATGAGAAGAAATAAAGAGAAATAAAGCAACACGGTCATCAAATAACTACCTGCCATAACCTAGTACATGTACCAAAAGATCTAGAGAGTTGCCATTCATTTTTTGGGGTTTTAGTGATATATAAATCACTACTTCCTAAGAAGTCACCTCTAACAGCCTAACAAGACATAATAGTTACTGCCAAATCAATCTTGAGTACTAGTCCAGCACATCCTTCTCCCCAGAAAAGTCACCAAGAATCCAAAGCCAGACTGGATATCCAGTCTGCAGTGTAACAGTCAGCAGTCCCCTCCCAAGGGCAAGATCAAAAATAACTCCTGAGCCCAGTGGAAATTCCTGGCACTGAAGTCTCTTCTTATAAACCTTTCTGGAGATAAGCATATTAAACAGGTTGAAGCAGAATGTTACCTGGACAGGTTAATATAGGATATTCATCAAATGAACCCATTATCAGCAGGCAGAGCAGGTAGAGAGCAGGGCCAAGACAAATGGGCCACACCAGCAGCAAGTTTTAATGGAAAACAGGTAAAGCACAGAAAGCCCCACTGGAATAGAGGAGTACTGAAAGTCACAAAACCACAAAACAGAAACTAAATGTGCCTCTTTTACAAATTTCCAAGTCAGAGGATGAAACTATTGACAACATTTTAATTAAAAGACAAGTGGTTCTGAATTGCCAAAACTAGTTTGTTAAGCTCTCACACCTCTCCTATAAGCAGAGATATACATGAGACAGTATAAGTGGTGAAGATTTTATTAGAAGAGAGTGAAAGTGCAAAAGCCAATATCAAGCTTGATAAATTCTATAATTTTAAATTCTCTGCATAAGAAAATACTCTGCACCAAAACCCCCAGACCTAAAGGAGAAGAATTAGATGTAGATATCCTCTGTACCCAACAGAATTAAGTACAAAGATAAACATGCTTAAACAAGTCCCATTTAAAGACACTATAAAAATTCTACAGCTATCCTTCAAAACTTTTGAAATAAATAAACAGTCCATCTTAACCCAGAAAAGCACCTCAAACTGCTAGGAGCTAATTTTTGGCTGACTTTAGGTGTTGTAGTTTCTATTTCCTTTTAAAGGACACTTAGATAAGCCTTCAAGGAGTGATTAACACATTAACTAAAATGCACTGTCAAACTGTTCTCCAGCAGATTGTGAAAATCTGGAAGATAGGAAAAGGATTAAAAAACCAATTTCCTACATAGACGCTGAAGCGTTTGTCTGTCTTTGTTCACTTCTCTGGGGCTTTTCCACTGCCCTCGCCAATGTGACGATTTGCAAATATTCACATCTAGAGGACCGTATTTTAAGAGGGGAGAAAAGACTCCAGTTGGAGGATGTGAGAATGTACTTTAATTCTACAGGCACGGGTCTACCAAATCGGCTAGCACCAGTCTTGACCAAATGGGTGACTCAGCCTTGTTGCGAGGGAATTTTTTTTTTAAGTCGAAAGTTCACATTTAAAAAGTCCTGTGAACATGGAAGCTCCAAATATTCTATCTCAGACAAAGAAAAAGGCTTGGAATATTAATTTGAAAGGAAGTGATGATTTATATGAAACATATTTGACACTAAAATACTGGATGGTCTCTAAGTTTACTTCTGGTTCCAGTATTCCTTAATTCTCTTGGTGACTTTACCTGACTATTCTTAGAGCCTTAGTGATTACAAACAGAACCTGACTGAGGGATCCATCCCTGGGTGGCTCAGCTGTTGGGCGCTGCCTTCAGCCCAGGGCCTGACCCTGGAGTCCCAGGATCCAGTCCCAGGTCGGGCTCCCTGCATGGAGCCTGCTTCTCCCTCTGCCTGTGTCTCTGCTTCTCTCTCTCTCTCTCTCTCTCTCTCTCTCTCTCTCTGTCTCTCATGAATAAATAAATAAAATCTTTAAAAAATAATTTAATAAAAGAACCTGATTGAGAAAGAAAATGCAGAATTAAAGTTGCCACCGTTGAGCCTAATGAGACAGTGCAGACAGGAAGATGGCAGTAGAAGAAAGCACCCTGAACTAGGGACAGGGAGATTAGGATAATTCCCAGTCCCATGTATGGAACAGGCTTAGGGAAAGTCCGGCTAGGGCCTGGGATGTACAGTGGACAATGCCTCCACCTCTGGGGTGGCCACCGACCCTAAACTGGAGTAGGCATTCGCTTCTACTAATGCGACAAACTGTCCACCTGGAGCAACCAACCACCACCCGCAAGAAAAACACATGTCAGCCACAGACTGAATCGTCTTAATTTTTAGGGTCAATTCTCCCTCCCCGGCATCCTTCCTACTTTCTGATCCCCAAAAGGAAACCCATCCACAAAGAAAAAAAAAAAAAAAAAACGGTGAAGACATCTCACCCCTGTATTGTGACTCTGGCACTTGGGGGGTGGGGGGCCAAAGCAAAGCCATGGGTTTTGCCCGGGGTGGGATCCACCGTGTGCGTCCGCTCGGTGAGGAGCTGGCGCTGTTTGCAGGGCATCCTGCAAGGCTCCGGCTCTGGCCTCAAGTCACATTGTGAGATCAGCAGGACGGACCCCCTGGTATTTAAGAGGTCTTCCTCGGGAGCCCCCGAAAGGGAGCTGGAACGCCCTGCAGGGATGGGTGGATGGGTGGATGGGTGGGTGGGTGGGTGGGGGGCCTCCCCCGGGACCCACGGCAGGGGCCCGGGGCGGGCGGGCAGCTCCGCGGCAGCGCAGGACCCAGCAGCATCCCTCCTCTGCGCGGGTCCCCCCCCAACCCGCCGCCGCCCCCACCCCGCCCCGCAGCAGGCGCCGCCGAAGGACCCCAGCTCCCTGCACCGCAGAAGTTTGCAGGCAGCGGCCGCGGTCCGACCCCTCCCGCCCCTAGAGCCGCGGCGCGCGCCGCCTCCGCGGGGGCGAACCCGGAGGCCAACTTTCCCCTCCGCCGCGGGAAGCCGCCCGAACTTTGCGGCGCGCCCACCCGGCCCCGGCGCCCGGCGGCCCCGACCCGCAGCCAGCCCGGGCCCGCGGGCCTCCGCCGCCCCCGCCGCCCCGCCGCCCCCGCGTGTCACCGCGGCCAGCCGCCCTCCGCGCCCCGGGCCCGCCGCCCCCGGCCCCGCCGCCCGCCGCCGCCGCCGCCCGCCGCCGCCCGCTCACCGTTAGTGAAGGGATCCATCTCCCCGCCCGCCGCCGCCGCTCCTCGCCGCCCGGGCGCCCCGGCTTCCTCCTCCAAGCCCCGAAGCGGCGCTGCCGACTGAGCATGCCCAGCGCGGCCGCCGAGGGCTGCCGGGGAGGTGCCGCGAGGGGCGGCGCCGCTCCGCCGCTCTGAGGCTCCGCCGCTCCGGGTTTTTGCAACAGCCGCAGAGAGAGCGCGAGGGAGGCCGGAGGGGAAAACACCGCACGGCCCCCGGGGGCCGGCGCCTGGGACTGGCGGGGGCGGGGGCCTGCTGGGGGCGGGGCCCGCCTTGGGGGCGGGGCCAGGCTCGGGGGCGGGGCTTGGGGCAGCCACGCCCCCCGGGAGCCCCGCAGCCGCCGCGGCGCCGCAGGACCCGGGCGGAGTTCAGTCGTTCAGCAAAGGAGACGGCCTCGGGGGCCTGGGCGCCGGGAGCTCGGCACTGCGCCCTCCCCTGAAAAAAAAAACAACGACCATTGCCCCGTGCGGGGGAGGGGGGGCATTCCGGAGACAGACGCTAAGCAAACACAGAAGGCGCACAAGACCGAAAGAACTGTCCCGCTGAGCCTTAAATCGGGGCGGTGGGCTGCAGTGAGCGCGCGGCTGTCCCGACGGCCGAGCGGCGCCCCGAGGCCGCACCTGGAGGCGGGGCGGGCGCCCGCGGGCCAAGGTCGCTGCCCAGACTTCGAGGCTTCGCTTTCCCCGCGGAGACGGGCTCCGGGTCGCTCGCTTCGCCGAGGAGGCCCGAGGGAGCAGGTGCTGCGGGTCATGTCGGGAGGGCCGCCCGCCCCTCCCCCGAGCGGTGCCCCGCGGTCGCCAGCCGGGGACACAGACGCGAAGGCGGGGGGACCTGCGCGGAGCCCGCGGAGCCCGCGGAGCCCGGGGGTCAGCACGCGCAGGGGGGGGGGGCGCACCTCTCCGCGCAGGCGGGTCCCAAAACCCGGAGCTGGATTCGCCGGGCGGTGCGGGCACCGCAGTGTCCGAGCTGCAGGCCTGGAGCTGGGCTTTAAATCAGCGCCCGGGCGCGGGTGGGTGCAGCCGCAGGGGCTCGCGGCCCGGCCGGGCGGAGCAAGCCGGGGAGAAGCGCAAACCCCCTAAGTCGCTCCCGCCTCGGCTGCTCGCGCCGCTGCCTCCGACCCCGGGCCAGCATTGTCTTCAATGTCAAATCTAGGCGTTAGCCGGCGAACCCTCGGGATGGAACAACCGGGGGCCCGCCTCCTTACCCCGGGTCCAAGTGGGCGCCGCCGCCCCGCTCGCAGGGGAAGCCGTGCCCCCCCGCCCCCAGCGCAGCCACAGCCGCCTCCCCCTCCCCTCCCGCAGCCCCGGCCCCTGCAGCGACTTGGCTCGGGCGACCCTCCCTGCGCCTGCCAACTGTCACACTCCTCCTCCGAGGCTGTCAGAAGCGGGACGCCGGGTGCAAGCAATCCGGCGGCGACTGCCAACAGCTTGGGCTGGGGTGTCGTTTGACCCGTGCAGAATTAGAAATTAGGTCTCAAAAGAAGCGAAATCGGAGTGCCATGTTGCACTTTTAAATGTCCACTAAGTCACCTGCTTTTCAGTCCAGCTTTAGGACCTCCGGTGGATACCAATCACAGGGACCAGAAACGCGAAACTCCTGGTCCAGCTCTGGAACCTCACGTCCACGTGCTATAACGACGCTTGGGCCGCAGAGGCCTCCCCGCGGTCCCTGGAAGTCCGCACGCTCTACCCAGCCCTGGCCACAGTCCTCGTGCACGGTCCTTGCCCACGGAGGAGTCCTTGGCCTGGTACTTTGCTTGCTGGCATCTTCGTGTCCTTTAGGTCTCGGCTCCAATGTCCCCTCTACAGACAGCCTTTCCTGACCACACAATGGAAAATAGCCACAGTCTCCTCTCTAAAGACTGGGCCCCGCTTTGTAGTCTTCACGGCATTCATCACTCTCTGAACCAATGCTTCTGTTGGTTGTTTCATTATCAGCAATCTGCCTCTCAAGAATGCAAGCTCCATGAAGGCAGGGTCATTACCTTTTTAAGGGCTGTATCCCAACCCAAGGTAAGTGTGTAATAAATAATTTATGAACACATATGTGAACAGATACAATGGTATGGGGAATTCTAGTTCGTTTGCAGTGTTGAAAAACTCTGCCAGAAACAGTGGTGTGTTTGTGATGATTCCAGAGAAGATGTCTGTATCCTATGATACCTCAAAGCTGCTCTCTCCCCACTGTGTTAAATAACCAGAGGCTCCCCTCCTGGCCCAGGCACTTCAGAACCCCCAACAGGAAGTGAACCCCCCAGGTTGGTGCCATGTGTGTTCAGATATCATATAGAACGTGCAGGGATGGATTTTGATAAAAGAACTCCACATCTTCTATTGCTCAGATAAGAGACTCGTCCCTATACTTTAGGTCATGTCGTGTTCCTTTGAAGTTATTTTTGCAGCCAAAGCACTTAGGATCAGAGATATTTAAAACTCTACGGTGTTAAATCTCCTCACCTCACCTTACCTGTAAGCTAGAGTCTATCATGCTTTTAGGTGTGAAACACATTATCTTGTGTTGTCTTAAATACTTCAGTTTTCCAGACTTGTGGTAACAATGCTTCACCATTGCAGTAGCAAATATATAGGTGGGTCATCCTGTCTTTCTGAGATTTCTTTGAGAAAGAGATAAGTAACTTCTTTATCTTCTTTGCCAACCTCTTGCCTCTTATTCCTCCCATTCGTATATGCACACACACACACACACACACACACACACACACACACGAAGGACATTTAAGGACTTGTGATTTTGTAATGGAGGTAAAACGAGTAAGCAACCAAAATGTTTTAGAATCCCACCTACCTTCAAAAGAATAATAATAAATTCTGTTTTGCTTTATTCTGGGATGTCTTTGTGGGTATTTTGGTTTTGTTTGCATGCCATTTTACGTTTGACTTCATGAAGACTCTTTGAGGGAACAGGATTTCATAAATTTGCTACTGATTATGTTTCAGTCTTTAACTTCCTCTTATCCTCCTACACAGAGCTTCATCTTCAGTTTAAGAATATAATACTTTATTTTTTAAAGATTTTATTTATTTATTCATGAGAGACACAGTAGAGAGAGAGAGGCAGAGGGAGAAGCAGGCTCTATGCAGGGAGCCCGACGTGGGACTCGATCCCAGGTCTCCAGGATCAGGCCCTAGGCTGAAGGCGGCGCTAAACCGCTGAGCCACCTGGGCTGCCCAAGAATATAATACTTTAAAGATTTTATTTATTTATTTGGCAGAGAGAGAGCACAAGCAGGGGGAGTGTCAGGGAGAGGGGAAGGAAGAAGCAGGCTCCCCGCAAAGCAGGGAGCCCTACCCTGGACTCAATTCCAGGATGGGGCATCATGATCCAAGCTGAAGGCAGACACCCAACCAACTGAGCCACCCAGGTGCCCAAGATATAATACTTTAAATTATTATGAAGTTACTATTCATTATCAGAGGAGGTAGTGTGACTTTATCTGCTATACCCACCTATTATTTTCAAGATCCTTGCTGTCTACCACTTAACATTAGAAAACCAAAAAATTAGAGGACTAAATATAATATAAATAACATAACAAAGGAAAAAAATATAAGATCCCTGAGTAACTAACAGCATTTATTTATAAATAAGCAGCAAATTTGCTAAACAATGAATAAAGAAACTTTTTTTTCCCCATCAAAATAAAGCACTTGGTCTGCCATGGATCAACTAATCCAAGTCTCATGTTAATGGATAAGTTGAATTCTGGAGAGGTTAGAGGAGTTACTCCCAGTCCGGTGGCACACACAGACTGGAACTCAGGTGGTCTGTGTTCTAAACGAGTGCTCTTGAGTTTGCTATTCCTTCCCTACTCCCACAGGGAATTTAGGGCCAATGGCAATAACACATTAAAGGGATATGGAGTAAAGAGAAATATAGCCAACTTCAGGCTACTAGAAGACTGTTCCATTAATTATTTAATTGATATTCCAATTTAGTTTACTGATATTCTATGTGAACTTTAGGTTTAACATTATTAAATATCTTCTCTAATTATTTTGAAATTAAGCTAAACTATATATTAATTCAGTATACACATCGGAAAATGATATTTATTCAGCACTCTTCAATAAATGGAGGGCGCTGCTTGCTTCCAGGACAAAGATGACTACCATGAGATTTATAGCTACTCCAGACTCTACCCAAGGACCAGAGGAGTCAATATCTCATTAAATGTAACCTATTTGCAGCACACATGCTCTGCACCAATTAGTGATGTTTGAAGCTATCACAAATTAATAAATATTTAGAGCACTAAGGAAAGCAATATAATTATCCAACAGAGTTCTTATAGAGCTTAGACATTAGCAAAAAGTTTCTAAGTTTGCTAAGTAAACTGAAAGATTATTAGAAAGGAACAGTTATATACTAGTTTAGATGCTTTGGCCTACAAAAACCAAAATGCTGAATCAAATCAGCATAAACATTAAGGAAAATTATCATCTCACATAAGTGCAGAGATAAGACAGTCTTTAGTCACAGCTCCCAACCTCACCAAGAACCCAGCTTCTCACTCTGTCCGCTCTGTGAGCAGTTCTCCAAAAGACTGAGCGTCCTGTGGACAGGACATGGGCTGCATCAGACAAGAGAGAAGGAACCTTTTCTTCGGTGTCTCTTTCTCAAGAGCAAGGAAACTTTTCTCAAAAACCCCCCGAAAGAATTCTTCCTGGGTTTCAATTGCCAAAACTGAATTTTATACATTTCTAAACCAATCACTGGAAATAAAAACAGTGTTATTATGGGTGGTATCTTAAAGCAGAGTTTAGGAGTACTGAGTTTAAGATCACTTCCCTGTTTCACAGGAGGAAGTAAGAGGGACTGGGTAAAATCATTTTTATTATTCAGTAGGGAAAAGTGGGGGTTAAGCAACTGAAATGTCAAGTAGGCCACCTAAATGTCCACTGAAGGTTATAATCACCGAAATATTTTAATAATGTTTTGATAATAATTTCTTTAAACCCTAAGGTACTTATCAACAGAATAGTAAAGATAGAGCCCAAATTTAATGTAATTTTTCATGGAATTGGTCAATGCCATTAGGCTTCCAAATCAGGAAATGGTATATTATTAAACTTCAAATTCCGATCTGGAAATAACTGCTAAAATGAAAAAATAAATTAAGCATTTATATTAGTTTGCAAAGGCTCCTGTAAAAAAGTATCACAATTTAGGTAGCCTAAACAACAGAAATTTATTCCCTCATGGTTCTGGAGGCTAGAAGCCCAAGTTCAAGGAGTCAGCAGGGCCATGTTCTCTCTGAAGGCTCCTGGGAAAGATATGTTCCAGGCTCTATCCTGGCTTCCGTGGCTGATGGCAGTATAACTCCAAGTCTTCAGACGGCATTCTCCTTGTGTACCCTCCTGTATCCATATTTTCCCTTTTAATAAGGGAACTAGTCATGTTAGATCAGGGTATGATGTCATCATAACAAATTACATCTGCAATGACCTCATTTCCAATAAAGTCCCATTCTGAGGTTGTGAGTGTTATGACTTCAACATGTGAACTTTGGTGGGGGTTTTCACTATTCAACTCATTGTAACAGCTTCTAACAGAAAGAAAGTTGAAGATAAGTATCAAGAAAGATTTGACCTCAAAGGATAGCATCAAGAAGTGAAAAGACAACCCACAGAATGAGACAAAATATCTGCAAGTCATCTACCTCACAAGAGACTTATATCTAGAATATATAAAGAACTCTTACAACTCGATAATAAAAGACAAATAAATCAATTAAAAAAGAGCAAAAAATCCAAATAGACATTTCTCCAAAGAAGACATACACCTGACTAATAAACACATGAAAAGATGGTACAGGGACACCTGGGTGGCTCAGCGGTTGAGCGTCTGCCTTTGGCTCAGGGCCTGATCCCAGATTTCCGGGATCGAGTCCCGCATTGGACTCCTTGCATGGAACCTGCTTCTCCTCCCTCTGCCTGTGTCTCTGCCTCTAGTTCTGTGTCTCTCATGAATAAATAAATAAAATCTTAAAAAAAAGAAAAAGAAAAGATGGTACATATCATTAGCCATAAGGCAAATGCAAATCAAAACTGCAGTGAGAAGCCACTTTGCAGTATGGCTAGGTTCAGGCATCGGATGGCTAGAATCAAAAAGGTAGACATAAGGAATGTTGGTGAAGATCTAGACAAATTGGAATGTTCATACACTGCTGGTGGGAATATAAAATGGTACAGTTGTGTTGGAAAATAGTCTGGCAGTTCCCCCAAAAAACTATCATAGAATTAACAAATGATCCAGCAATTTCACTCTTAGCTATATAGCCAAAATAATTGAAAATTTATATCTATACAAAAACTTGTGCATGGATGTTCATAGCAGCATTATTCATAATAGCCAAAAAGTGTTCATCAGAGAAGCCAGTTACAGAAAACTACACATTGTATTATTCCATTTATATGGAAAGTTCAGACTAGGCAAAATGATAGAGAAAGATTAGTGTTTGCCTAAGACTGTAGGGAGGGAGGAAGGGAAGCGACTGCTCATAGTATGGGGGATCCTTGTTTGGGTAAAAATGTTCTAAGATTGACTATGTTGATAGGTACACTCTATGAGTGTCCTAAATACCTGTGCCTCTGCGACTGGAGCAAGTTGCTTAATCTTTCTGGGCTTCATTTTCACCTTTGTAAACTGAGGAGACAAGTACTACCACCCTCTTAGGATTATTGTAAGAATAAGATGAAATAACACACCAAAGGTGCTTTAAACAGAGACTGGCACAAAATCAGCACTAAGGTTGTATTTGCTATTACTGTTAGATGTGAACTGTGACATTTTAGTACCAGTATATTGCATGCAAAAAAAAAAAAAAGTCTAGACTTGCAAAGTATAATGTGAGAGCAAACAAATTTGTATGATGCTGATTTATTCCAACCCAATAATTTAAAATAATAATGTCCTGAGAAAACGGAGTTCTTGATACTGGTATTTAAGCCCTGCAATCAGTTGGGCCCTACCCAGGCTAGGAAGGCATCAGGGACAGTGGGCCCTGCTTCAGGCTATGAAAACCATTTATAGGCCTTCCTCTATAAAAGTCAGAAGATATACATGTTATTTTTAGAAATTATCTCTAGTTGGAACTTTTGATTGACCTGCTCTTTCTAGGGAGATGTTACCCTCCTAAAGATTCTGTTTCAGTTTTCCTTCTCCTTTATTTCTAGCAGCTGTGCTAAACCAGAGCCTAAGATTCCTTCCCATTAAATGTGTCCTTCGGGTTTTTTGTTTGTTTTTGAGCATGAGAAGGTACTGTAATATTTATGAAGAAAATTATACTTGACTGTGATTCTTGGCTGACTCCGGGATGACTCAGATGCTTTCTTCCTCCCTTTGGCTGATAGCTGCCAGCACAGGCTGTCGGTCAGAAACATTGTGGGATACCCACGGTGCCTGGAACACCAAAGAGAACTGAGAAAAACAAAGCGGGAGGTACAGTTTTGCTTTTAAGGTGCTTGCAATACGTTGGGCCGGTCCGGACAAGCACCCAGGATACATGCATAATGCACAACACATGACACGGACGTATACATATGTACTAGCAGGACCAGTCTGGGGCAGAATTGACAAGTAGAGGTCTCTGAGTTCTACTAGGTCCCATTTTATATTTTCCTTCCTCAATTCTAGATGCTGCTTCCCACAGTCAACAAATATTTATCAAATGCCATCTGTAAATAACACACTTGAGTAAGTGACAGATACTGCCTTCCAGAGCTTCCCACCAAACCAGTATTTTCTAGAGTGTTGCCCTTGTCCCAGAACCCACCCATCCCAATCCCCTCTCCCAGCTTCAGGTTTCTCTCTCTCCTTAGGGCTCTTTTCTCAGCTAGCTATAAAGAAATAAGTATTCATCTTTAAAAAAATTAAAAAGTAACACTAAAGCATGACTAATGAGTTACAATTGAATACTTTAACTTTTATTAGCCCAAAGGAATGAATCTGTAATGGTGAAATTCTAGAAGAAGAGGCAACTGAATGAGAAGATGTATTTTGAAGAAAAGGCTATGAGGTTTCCTTTTTTTAGGTAGCATTTTTTAGATCTAGACTTGCAAGTCCAACACTGCAGGTGTTATTTCTATCTAAGTCCTCAGTGAGATGAAGGAAACAATAAGTATATTCCCCTTGGCCTTAAAATCCAAACAGCTAGGCTGCCCAGAGAAACAGTTATCTAAATTAGGAGAATAAAATGCTTTTTCTTTTTTTTAATGGTTTTATTTTATTTATTCATGGGAGATACAGAGAGAAAGAGAGGCAGAGACACAGGCAGAGGGAGAAGCAGGCTCCATGCAGGGAGCCTGACGTGGGACTCGATCCCTGGTCTCCAGGGTCATTCCCTGGGCCGAAGGCAGCGCTAAACTGCTGAGCCACCTGGGCTGACCTAAAATGCTTTTTCTACTAGGTAATGGTTTTTCTAGAATACAGAACATCATTTTTTAAACAGTGCTTTGAAAAAATAATAAAGTAAAATAAAACAAAGCCGTGCTTTGATCAGGAGTGTCATAACTGTGGCCTATAGATAAGGCACAAGTTAGAATAAGATTAAACCTTGAAAAGCTATCCAGTTTCTCTCATTAACCAACAACGTATTCACCGTTGCTTAAATGACCCTAATGTAGTCCTTGAGTGTGAGTTGAATTAACTTGCCCAGGACACAGGGTCTGACTCCTGTGGGCTCTATCTGGTTCACACGAATTGTGCAAGTTGATTCAGATCAGATCTTGTCTTTGATCTTTATTAGCTTGAGTCTCTCGACCTGTTTACCTCTTACCAGCTTAAAAGCTCTTGTTTATCCTTCTAAAATTCCTACTGCTAGTCTTTGGGCCTACATCTAGAGGCATGAATAGAAAGAAAATAAAAGTAGATACTAATAGCCTTGGGCCACAAAGACACTCATTCGTCTTTCAGAAAAAGTTCCCCAACTCCCATCCCTGCCTCTTGCCGTATTTGAGTGTTTAGAGTGTTCAACCTAACTTTTTCCCAACTCGAACTCAAAATAATTATAAATTAGTTAGAATTTCCAAACTCAGTTTACTAGAGAACAGTTTTTAAGGAGGGATATGGTTTTAAAACCAGGAAATAATGTCCTTTGTAGTCATTAAGTCTTTTCATAGACAATTTACTCTGCCTACTTTAAAATGGGGTTTGTAATTATAACAAGTGTTGTTTGGATGATTGCAGAGACCTGTCAGGTGGATTCCTTGCAGAAGCATGAACCTGAAATGACATATTGAAAGAAAGAAAGAAATATGGCATAATTCAACAGAGGTGAGGTATGAATTTTGAAGTGTGGGAAATTGGGGACACCTAGGTGGCTCAGTGGTTTAGCACCTGCCTTCTGCCCAGGGTGTGATCCTGGAGACCCGAGATCGAGTCCCACATCAGGCTCCCGGCATGGAGCCTGCTTCTCCCTCTGCCTATGTCTCTGCCGCTCTCTCTGTGTGTGTCTCTCATGAATAAATACATAAAATTTAAAAAAAAGAAGTGTGGGAAATTATATGTGTAAATACCCAACAGTAAGAATTAATTAATCGTGTACTGAGAATAAAAAACTGGCTTCCTGACTTCATCTGGGAACATAGTAGAAGATGAAAACTTTTGGAGAAAAGAGAAAAAATTAGCAAAAGATCTTGAAGTTAGGATTGCGAAGTAAAGTTTGCAGAGCTGACTGAGACACAGAAATTCTTTTTACTTTGTCAGATCTACATTTCTCATACTTTCTAGCCATTTCTCCCTATGAATATTGGAAAATTTTCCCAATTTAAATCCTGAACAAATGATCTGTGTATACTCCTAACTTCCTGATACAATGTTAGGCATCCACGACTTTATTTATGACAAATCAATACTACACAGTCAATACTGAAAACCAATTTCCATCCTAAGGAGGCTCTTATGTAAAAGTGTTAGGCATTTGCACATTGTTGAAAATAAATTATCATTTCTTGGAATATGCATAGACTAAATGCCCTGACCTTTTTACTGAGAATAATTAAAAACATAAAATCAAAAAATAATTAATTGTTTGAATGTATTGATGACCTGGAAAGCTAGTAAGAAATAGTCCTGGATCAAAAACTAATGGAAGGCAGGAACCCTGAGGGGTAAGCAGAAGGCTGAAGTCAATGTTCACCTGGAGGGCATCTGAAGCTTCACTTTTTCTGCCTTTGAGAGTGGGAAGGACAGATGGGAGAGCCTGAGCTTGCCCAAGTGGGGAAACAGAATAGCAGAGAAAATTCAGGTGTAACCCGTTTACAAAAGACTCATCTGAGACTAAATACAGAAAATTTCAAAGTAATGGGACAGAGAAAAATACATCAAGCAAATGTCAATCAAAAGAAACTAATGGCATAACTATGGATATATCTGGGGGAGCTGTACTTTACCAGGGAAAGTGTTACCAGATATAAAAGATTAACATTTGGTACCGACAAGCACAGGATACAGGGGTAAAAAGAAAGTGAATTAGGGATGCCCAAGTGGCTCAGTAAGTTAGGCATTTGACTCTTGAGTTCAGTTCCAGTCATGATCTCAGGGTCATGGGATCAAGGCCCCAGTTGGCCCTGTGCTGAGTTGGGGGGAGTCTGCTTGAGATTCTGTCTCTCTCTTTCTCCCTCTCCCCCTCCCCCTGCTAACTCTTGCACAGTATCTCTCCCTCTCTCTCTCAAATAAATAAATCTTTTTTTTAAGTAAACTAACACCCCTTTACAGATATAACAAACAGTGAATAACAAAATAGGAACTAGAAAAACAATAAACAATGAAAACTTAAGTTGGAGGTAACCTGGCACTATCTATTAAAATATTAGGTTACAAAAAAAATAAAAATAAAAAAAATAAAATATTAGGTTACATAAAGCATGCATGTGCTTCAACCCAGCTAACCTATGTCTTTCATAATATTTTTTCACCCTTTCTTCCTTATGATTTAGAGACCTTATCACTTTGATGAATGAGATTAAGACTTCTGGGAGCAGATAATATAACAGATAAATGGTTTAAAGTCTGTAAATGTCAGCGGTTGAGCATCTGCCCTAAGCTCAGGGCGTGATCCCGGAGTTTGGGATCAAGTCCCACATCGGGCTCCCTGTAGGGAGCCTGTTTCTCCCTCTGCCTATGTCTCTGTGTCTTTCTTGAATGAATGAATGAATGAATGAATGAATAAATAAATAAATAAATATTTAAAAATAAAAAAGTCTGTAAACGTAATGGTTGTAAACCATTACATGCTGAAATGAAAAATTGTGATATATGGTTAAATAGAAGAAAGAAGATCAATAGTGAATATAAGCAAAGTAAATTTGCAGAGTAAAACTGTGGCCATTTTAAACAACCTTGTGTTTGGTAGACATCAGTGTTCAACCGGAAAACTAGCCTCCAGGACTATTTGGAGGTCCCCCTTGTAATTAGGCTGGAATAAATCCTTCCTCCACTCAAAACAAACAAACAAACAAAAAACAAACAAACAAACAAAAAACAGGAACTTCCCTCAGAAAATCAGGATCTATGATCATTTGATTCTGTGGAACCTCATATAGACCCAATGACATAGCAAGGAATGAAATGCAGAAGTATATACATGACATAGGACGAGAAATTCCTATCATGGTGGTGAAGTTGGACTGCTGAGGACTGAAGTCCCCATTGACCCCTACACGAAGCCTAAAAGGGAGCAAGACATTGGTTCTGGGCCCCCTGGTATGGAAGATTTCTCATTCTGGGTGGCCTTTGGAGACCATAAAATCCTCCCAAGACTCTGGGAATTCAGTGAGGGACAGAACTGCATCTGCTCCCTCCATCATCCATTCACAATCTTGTGTATAACTTTTTCATAGCTTGTTTGCTCATTTGGGGTAAAAGGAAGTAAAACTAACATTAGCCAAATCTGAGTTGGTGCTGGGGGTTTGTCATCTACCAGAAAGGTTTTGAAATACCACACGAAGTAGAATACATTTCTTTAAAAAAAAAAAAAAAAAAACTCCTTACTTGTTAAAACAATTTTGGCACAGTACTTCTCATGTTCATTCTCCACAAAAAATAATCGGCTATTTCTACTACAACTTCTACTTCTCTACCCAATCCTTAGGGATGTGAAAAGGTACAAATGTCTATAAATAAAGAACTAAGAGGAAGAAAATCAAAAACTTGGAAATTTATGGTGGATAACTTACTATACAAAAGAAAGAACTTTACATGTTTATGGAAATAAATATGACAGAACAGATCTACCAAAACTCATACACATTCTTCTGCTTAATTTACACATTATATTGGTAGAAAAATGACATTCTTTACTTTTTCAGTTTCTTTATTTGAAAGTACATATAATTGCAGAGGGATATATGCATTACACAGACTGTGGTAGGACCACAACCAAGTCAAATCTAAAGCCAAGGATACTTCAAAGATTCCAAGAAATGGTTTGAAAACTTAACAAAATGTCATGCCCATGGTCTATCCAAATTGTACCCTCTCTCTGACTGTGGCACCAAAGAAAGATCTATAAACCTTCAAGATATCACTCCAAAATGGACTAGTCAATACCCTTCCCACCTCACCTCTGCCCCAACATCCCAGCTTCCCTTAATAGCCCAGAAAAGTTAATCATCTGTGTATTGATTCAAATTTTTCTAGAATATGTTTATATCTTCATACTGATTCATACATGGGTACATGAATTTATTAAATTTACAACCTGTATTTGGAGTGGTAGTTTCTTTGTTCATTCCAAATACCTTATTAAAATAATTCAGAGAAGCATCTAGAAATGCGTTTCAGAGGTCGAGTTTCCTTTAAAAATATAAAGAAATGCTAAAACTTAATTATAAAGTATGATGATTCATTTAAATATTTACATTAAACCTGAGTTAACTGGAAATATACACAATACCAACTAATTTTGCAATTTTCAAAAGATTAAAAATTTGAGTGTAGGGACGCCTGGGTGGCTCAGTGGCTGAGTGCCTCCCTTCAGCTCAGGACGTGATTCTGGAGTCCCGGGATCCAGTCCCACATTGGGCTCCGTGCATGGAACCTGCTTCTCCCTGTGCCTGTCTCTGCCTCTCTCTCTCTCAATCTGTTTCTCATAAAAAAATAAATAAATAAAATCTTTTTAAAAAGTGACAGTGTATGGTTTAAAGTGGTGAGGTATCATTGTTCTCTCCTGAGCCTCTGTGACTACAGATTTTGCTGCCCGTGGAGATGACCTCAGAAGGCTACACTTGAGGCTCATTAAGAATGTGAGGCTTGGGGCACCTGGGTGGCTCAGTTGATTAGGCACCTGCCTTTGGCTCAAGCCATGATCCCAGGGTCCCCAGAGTGGGGACTGAACCCACCCTGCTCAGTAGGGGTTCTGCTTCTCTTTCTCCCTCTGCCCCTCCTCCCTGCCTGTGTTCTCTCTCAAATAAATAAATAAAATATAAAAAATAAATGTGAGGTTCAAGCCAAGTAGCCCTCCTGATTTTGTTAATAAACTCTGACACCTAGCTTCTAATAATCTGAGATTTGGTGACAAATTCTCTGTTTTCCTGATCCTTATACTACATAATTTGATTCAGATTGTCCATGAATGGTAGAAATTAAATGAACTATGCAGGCTGAGATGAAGGAGGAAGAAAAGGAGGAGACGAAAGGATGCAAATGAAAGATTTTTTAAAAAAGAATTGGCTATGTTTCCTTGAAGGTAAAACTGGCTGGGCAAACTCCAGGATACTAAGCAGGTTAGAAAAAGCATCAAAGAAGCAAAAAAAGTAGCATGATGTAAGGCAATGTAGGTAATGTGCCGTGTGGCTAATCTATTACAGCTATGTCTATATATTTATATTCACATCTCAACATATCTCCATTACTCAGGAAGTTTACATTTAAATAGGCTACTGAAGTGGATTTCCCCCACCTCAACATCATACATCTGTCAGCTAGAGACAGCTGGTGAGGGCAGGCAGTTGAGCTGGCTGGTTTCTTGAGGCTGCTTGGTGGCTTAGACGAAATATCCAGAGCTTTGACTTGAGCTTTGTTGACTTCATGTCCACAACCAAAGTGCTCTTTCTACTGACCACTTAAGAACTAACCAGTAGCCAAGTCTTCAGAGTGGGAAGATTCTTCTCCAGCCACTTAATATTTTTGGATATGGTTTCCAAAATAATTTGAAAAATATCCAGATGTAATCCTTCAGCCTCAAGAGATTCAAAGAAGAGTTTCACCTGAAAAATAAGCAAGAAAAAAATTACTGACATGGTTCATAAAATACTTGCTCTTGCAAAGGGTTTCAGAACAGCTTGCAAATTATACAAACACCAGAGTAATCATTTCTCTGCCAACCTTTGAATGGTTGATTTTTTTTCCTCTTTTTTTTTGTGTGTGTGGTGTAATTATTTTTCACTTTATCTTCAGACAATAGATAATGTAAGACAAAAATGATAAATCCTTACCTTATAAGTGAGCACACTGTGAGTAAAAATGTTTAGTGATCAAGCCAAGTCATACAGTTAAGCTAGGATTTAAGTTGTAGAATTCTGAGTTTCCTTAAAGGGTAAATAACTCAAGATTCACTTTGGAAAGAAGATGTAAAACATTTGAATGCTTTAAAAAAAAAAGTAGAATTATCAACAACAGTAGTTTTGGTAAAAAAAGGACCGTTAAGTACTCTCCCAAACTTCAATATAGCCACTTCTGTGACAATACACTATGAAACAAAAAATAAGCAAGGACTCATCTCTTAAGTGTAATTTTCATTTTGAATGCTATGAACACCTGTATTTTAAGACGTTCTAGCCCTGTCCCTTCCATTTACTTTCTATGTGACACTGGATGAACTATTTATTTTCTTTTAATAAAACAAGAACTTTAAACCAGATTACGGGGAATCCCTGGGTGGCACAGTGGTTTGGCGCCTGCCTTTGGCCCAGGACGTGATCCTGGAGACCCGGGATCGAATCCCATGTCGGGCTCCCGGTGCATGGAGCCTGCTTCTCCCTCTGCCTGTGTCTCTGCCTCTCTCTCTCTCTCTCCCTCTCTCTCTGTAACTATCATAAATAAATAAAAAATTTTTTAAAAAATAAATAAACCAGATTACATCTAGGTTTGCTTTCAGTTTTACGATTTGAACATTTATTTTTAGGTTGTTAGCAGTAGAGAGTCACAAACCTCTTGCAACTCATCCTTGGAAGAAAAGTGAGATGTTGTGCCAGAGATGATTATTCTCATAGCATGTGAGCCCAAGTCAAATCTGCAAATAAAAAGAGAAACACACAGACTTAAGTAGTAGAAATACTGGCCTTATCTTTATGATACCATATGTTTTTAAAATATATGACATTAATCACTATAATAAGCTTGTACATTACAATATATTCTATTAATTACCATAAGAATAAATTATTCAGGAAAATCCCAAAGCTATGAAGTGTATCAAATTTCTTTTAAAGGTTTTTTTTAAAGATTTATTTATTTATTTATTTATTTATTTTTTTTTTTTTATTTATTTATGCATGAGAGACACAGAGAGAGAGAGAGAGGCAGAGACACAGGCAGAGGGAGAAGCAGGCTCCATGCAGGGAGCGGTATGCGGGACTTGACCCTGGGACTCCAGGATCACGCCCGGAGCTGGAAGGCAGACGCTTAACCGCTGAGCCACCCAGACGTCCCAAAGTGTGTCAAATTTGACCATAAGATTAAAATGTAGATAAAGCCTTTTTAGGAACTGTGTGACTAGCTTATCCAGCAATGTTTATGTTTAAATATATGTTTATGCTTAAAGCAGCATTCTTTATGTTTTTATTATGCACTCCATTGGTAAAGATTTTTTTGTCCACAAACTTCCCAATATTCATATTTATATTTATGTATTATATGCATGTACTATGTTATAGGTCAAATAGAAAATTTAATAGCATAAGAACTAATAAATGTAGTAATATGTTCTCCTTGCACTCTCATGTACTGTCTTGCACACTTCCCCTCCCATTTTGGAAATCCACTGTCTTTATACACAGTATTTTGGGGGGGTGGGGGGCAATGCTATTTGGTTGAACTCTCACTTGTAGCCACAGAGTGAGTCCTTCACCCCAGTGTCTTATATAGAGAATTTATACCATAAGTCAAAGGGATTCGTGCTGAAAAGCAGAGAACAGATACATCTTAGAAATGATTCCAAGTCCAGGCTGTGCACATGGTCAGGCAGGAGGATCATTTCTAGTGACAAAGGAAATCTATGGCATTGCAGAAAAAGTCTCATCATTTCAGGGGAGGGAACTGATAGTCATGCAAACGACCCAACCAATGATTCCAGTAATCCTTAAGGAAACATACACACGCTCATTTTACACACACACACACACACACACACACACGTTTTTTAAAGCTGTTTCTGTTTGATACCATGAGAATTCAAACCTCCTTCAAGGCCTTGGCAGAGGGGTGAAAATGCTCTTTTTGCTTACACAAAGCTATGGAGGCTCTGAGTCCTTCATGGCTAACAAATGAGAGGGAAGAGGAACTGGGAATGATGGAAATCAGAGATACTGACACTAAGGTAAACAGAACAGACTGTGCAGCTCTCAGATTCAGGATATTTTCCAAATAGTTTGTAAGTGACATTTTGATTCTGGATAAGGACTAGCTGAGTGCCTTAGCAGGGGTTTGTTGTGAAAGAAAGCAATGCCATCCTGTGCCTTCCAATGAAATCTAACCATTATTGGTTCCTTCTGGGGGATACTTTAGGCCCAGGAGCACGCTGGAGTGAGCTCTGGTTCTCCTAAGAGTTGAAATCCGAGAAAAGACTCAGAACTGATTGAGTTTTCAAAAGGGGTGGGAGTGCTCCCCAAACACTTTTGATCAGATTTCTTTCAGTTCCTCTAAGCTCTCCACTGGGCCACTTCCACAGGGGACCTGAGGGTGGGGGTTAGCTCTCATCAAAATTCCTGAAACTCTCCCCCAGAACAAAACTGCATTAACAAAGCAAGCCAAATGTGTTTGATGCACTATACGTGGTTTCAGCGTGCTGGATGGGGCTGATGACTGGATTTAACTCATCACACGCTTGCTCCCAGCAGGTCTTTGCCTGTGCAGAGTGAGCGAAATCTCTTTGCCACTCACTTCTCATTCCTCTCCCTCACACCTGGACAGAGTAATTTTGGCCCATTAAGTTTTCAAACTATTTGGGTAGAACTAGGATCATTTATATGCTTCGGGGGGACACATCATTGTACTTGGTTTCAGGCAACTGAGCTATTTAGGTGGAAGAGCACACATTCGATGTAAATGAATACCAACTTTTTAAGGAGATGGGTCCAATTTTCTCTCAAAAAATTCCAGGCTAATTGCTGCCCCTGTGGACTTCTGGTGATCCCATGAAGAAGGAGGCCCAACTCTTGAGTCTTGATGACTTCTCCTTCCATTCCTAGCTCAATTAATCTGAAGAAATAAAGACCATTTGACTTGTCATGGTATGTGTTATGTAATGGAAATTAACTCAGGCTACCAATATATTAAAAGAATAGAAGAGAAAGAGGCATGATAAAATTATAATTTGTCAAAATCCATAACAAATTCCTTCCTGGCTAACATTTTTAATGTTCCAGTTGAACTTTCAATTTTTTTCTGCCAGTAACTTCATTCACTTATTACTTCAAAGTACTTTAATTAGCATCTTGTAAAACATCTAACACACAAGAATGTATTCTTGTGATCATTTTTCTCCAAAGTTTTGATGTAAAATGTAGCCATTTGTCCAGTATTGGTCACCAGATTAATAACTAGGAATATATCTGTTTTCACTATTTGCATTTGTCAATATGTATTTTTTGGAAGTAAAGTCAAAGCAAATCAAATCTTGATTAAATTATTTTAATGCCTTTGAAGTTGGAGGGCAATATTTTAGTGACCTCATTGAATTTTTTTTTTACTTCATTGAATTTGTATCAGTTTACTTTTAACAAGTTAGTTAAGTTTATGCACTTACTTTATTAACTTTTCCTGATGTTTGCTGGTTGACAATGCATACAGAATTTTGTTTTTTTCAGCACCTGACATTGACAGCCCATATTGCTCTAAAAGGTAATTCCATCCCACTGTTGTCTGAGCACCGATGGAATACACAATCTCCAAAACATCTGATGGAATGCTGTAGTATGAAGAACAAAGTGAAGAAAAAAGCCCTATGAAACAAAAACCCTTTTTTCTTATTACAGTTTTAAACTGCTATAACAGAATCACCCCTGAGTTATTTTCAGTAGTGTGTTAAACCTTTATTTCTGTCAAATTTTTATAAAAATATTTTATGTAATTTCGCTTTGCAAATTATTTGTGGGTTTTTTTTCTTAAGATTTATTTATTTATTTTAGAAAGAGAGAGAGAGAGCAAGGGTGGGAGGGGCAGAGGGAAAAGCAGACAAACAGACTCCCCACCAAGCAGGGAACCCTACGCAGGGCTGGATCTCAGAACCTGGAGATTATGACCTGAGCTGAAATCAAGACTCAGACGCTTAACCGACTGAGTCACCCAGGCACCCCATGGTTTCTTTTCCCTTATTGATGATAAAATGTTAGCAAGGAGAATATTCATAAAATTTTAACTTACTCAGGGACTAAAATAGCAACTTTGTAGAATCAATGATTTCTGACACACACACACACAAAAAAGATTTCTGACATATCAAAGTGTTGGTTTATACAGAATTCTAGAATTGAATAACCTATATTGGTGCTATGGGATTTTTTTAAAAATAAAACTTGGTTTCTTACTGCTTTAATATCACATTAAAGTGTATTTTCTAACAGGACTGAGAGTCATCTGATTCTCTGGGTCTAGAAAATTTAATTTAGCACAATTGATTGGGTTCAGTCATTTTATAATTTATAATTTGTAAACCTGATAAGGTTTGGGGGTTTTTTTGCCCTGTAGAATATTAACTATGTTTGATGCTAATTTGGTCTATGGTTTTTAATTCCAATATTGTTAGATCAATAACTGATATTAGTTTTGATGGCTCAGAAAAACTGCACAGAGGATGGGGCAGGAAATTTGCATTTATCATGTAGTGACCATATAGGAGAATCTACAATCATATTTAACTGTCAAAGCTACCTAGTGAGATAGTTATTATCCTGATTTTTAAAAAGTGGAAATAAAGCTTGGAAAGGTTAAGTAACTTGCACAAGGTGACATGACTAGCCATTGTGAAGATGGAATTTAAACCTATGATCCTAACACTTGCGTTATTTCCCCTATACGTGCTTAAATATCCCAAGTGCCAGATGAATCACAAAACAAAGACTAAGCAATTAAATTATAGTCTGCATTGTTTTGATTTTAGTGTATTTACTGTACAAATGTATGAAAGTTGATAATAAATACATGTAAGTTCCCTGAAGGTAAGACACATAGTTGTTTTGTTTACTGCTTTATCCTTTTTTCCTATAAGCAATGCCTGGCCCACAGGCAACATGCAAAGAATTATATATTGGACACACAAATGAACAAAGTAATTACTCTATGTAAGAAAATTCTTCATTAGGATCAATACTAGAAATCTTGAAGTTTAGGGGGAAAAACCCTCTAATATTTAATTATGTATTATCGATTACAAGCATAAATGAGCTTTATATTTTCACAAGTATAGCATCTGGTTAAACACATTCAACTCACATATCTAACCCATAGGTGGGTTGCTGCAGATAAGATCACTCCTCTTGGAACAAGTATAAAGGTGGAATAATATCTCATTATGCTATAGGGCAGCAGGATGTTTACATTTTAGCGTCACTCATTCAACCCATTCAAACATGAACAAAAAAGAGGAGCTAAAAGATACTTTTCTTAAACTGCTTTTTTTTTTTTTGGCTCAAATAACAATGACAAGAAAAGTACAAAGAAGAAAACTGAAATTAATGTTTTCAAAAAGAAGAATTCAAGAAAGGATTTCAAAGAGCTCACTGAGATTTAGTTATATGGAGAGAAATTATGATAGCCTATCAGCAATCCGGTATAGGACAAATGGACACCATTACATTACACAACACTAAAATTGTGAATTTTTTTCTTCAGTTTTAAAGAATGAATTTTCCTTGATTCACATACCAATTTGATTTCTCAAAACATCCAACTCTAGAGTCAGTTTTAATGATAACAATGTAAAACCATGTGTTGGATAGAAATCAAGGCTTATATTGAAAAGATTGTGGCATCTGTTAGTATTTCTGGATTGTAACTGCTAAACTGAACTGCAGCATAATCCATGTGATCACTGGGCATCTTCTTGATTATAATAACCACCAGAATCCATTTTGCCATCAATATACACACTTTTCATGGCTCAGGCCATCAATTTCCCCTCAAATATGAAATTTGGGGTCAAAATTCGGGTCTGTGGTATTAGCTAATGAAGAAGTAATAGACTTTTTAAAAAGGTATCCTCTCCTTATTTTAAAAACAAGTTTTAGCAAATGATCACTGGTGTTTTGACTGCATGTACAATTCACATTGCCTTTTTTCTTTAAAAGACATCACTTTTTGAGCTTGGGCACCCTCCCCTCCCCCCCCTTGCTTCTACCCTCTGGCTGTCTTTCTGTTACCATGCCAATGCTTATTAGCTGTTCCTCTGAAGGTACCTAAATCTCACTTCCCACGAAATCTATTGAGCACTTACTATATGGGAGCATGAAACAAGGGTTTGTAATTCCCAGCATGGCTTTCCGCCCCCCTCCTCCAACCTCACTGAAAGGTTTTAGATGTAATGTCTTGCTTGATCAAAGACTTCAGCATCAAAGTGAAAGGAACAAAGAACAGGACAGATATCTAGATTTACGTTAATTTTCCACTGGATTCCATCCACTGAGAGAAGAGTTCAGTTGCCTTCTGGATGCAAGGAGCATGGTTCAGGTAACAGGCCAGTTTTAAGATGGTCGAGCGAAGCAGTCTGTCCCAGACTGAGCCCTTGTCACTCCAGCTTTGCATGTCAATCACTGGCTTAAAATATCGGAGAATGTAACGCTGCAGAAAGCACAGGATGATTTACAGAGAGGCTAAATTTAGTACTTAACACAGCTCTTATCATCAAAAGGGGTCAACTCTAAACTGTCTACATGAATCTTCCTCAAACACAGAACTATTTGTCCATCTATTTTTCTCTGTTTTCTGGGCCCCACCTACCACAGTCAAATAGAGTTTCTGCATTAAAAGTATGACTTAATTTCCTATGGGGGGGGTGGATATCAATAGAAAAAATCACATTTAGGAGGAATATTTTGCTCATGATCCTGTCAGGATCTTCTTAGGTTGGTGATGACAAGGATCAAAGGATTCCCAACAATTCAATGCTGTGGTGTTGACTGTGCTATCAGCCAGTTGCCCCAGCTTCTTGAAGATTTATTCCCCAGGAGTTCACACAGACAGACCAAGTCTCACCAATCCTCCAGACACTCTGTACTTACTCAGTGAATTTTCTGGAAGTGATACAAACCTTGAGGTTTTCAGTGACATCTGAAATATTCCTTCTGTGCATCATGTGGTAAAATAGTTCTAAGTATTCCAGACCTTTGAGAAGTGCAGGGATGCTTGTTTCATGTTGGAGATAGCGAGTCAGGTCAAGGGCTTTGTCTAGGGTCAACCTTCCTGCACTGAAGTATGAAACAAGTTGTTGGTGGTTTGTGCATATTTTATAGTTCTTAATATTCTTAACATTAAAACAAATATGATATAGAGAGCAATGACGGGGGCAGTTCTGTTCTAAGGATTAAATGGCTTCATATGAGTTGAGTGCTTAGAGTAATTCCTATAATACAGGAAGAGCTTTATAAAAGAAATATTAGCTAATATTAATATTTAGTACAAAATAATATCAAGGTTTTCATATATTATGTCATTCTCTAATTGTTTAATTTGTGGATTTGAATTGTTCCTCCAAGCAAATTTGGAATTTTGATGACAGGTACAGTGTCTTCTCTTTTTTTAACGTCCCTCCTAGAGTCTAACAGAGAAGTAGTAATTATTCTAGTGGGACAAAAGAAGTAGTTTCACTGTTTTTTAGAAATCTATTTAGATTCCAAAGTTATATGCTTTCTCCATATTTTCTTTTAATAATAAGAACAAACAAACAAACAAAAAACTATTATTCTGAATACCAAAGCATTAGAGTCTCTTCTGCAGAGGAAGTAAACCATTATATTGTCATTTTTGCAGAGTGGTTCTCACATGTGTTTCTGACAGGCCTTGTGCCTGCACGTGGTCTGTAAGCTATTACTGCCAGCATCGGACTCCCAGATTAAGCATAGTAGTTTGATATGGAAACAGATTCCAGAACAAAGGACATCTCTGTTGAATTTTTCATTAACATAATGTGCTACCTCCTTGGGGTTTTTGAAATTTTCAATTCTTATTGAGAAAGAGGGAACTGAAACTAAAAAGAAGGAACTTTTGTTGTGACTTCACTCTTCTCAGACACAATGAGATACTGCTTTAAAACAGACTTACGGAAAATTTCCACAATTTTTGTCTGAAGACGGAGGGCTAAACCATATACACGATGATTCTATAGATGGCTGTGTTTTTTAAAGCATTAATCTACCAAATGTCACTATTCCTTCCCACATGTGTAAGTGTCATGATGTACAGTACAGCTGATACCCTAGAAGATCCCCAACAGGAAAAACTAGGTATAATATTCCAGGGGCACAATTTAAAAAAGAATGTTGAACACAAAAACTACCTTATAGTAATCCTGTTTTTCTTTTTTGGTCCAGCCTAATTTGTATCTTACTAAAACAAGCACCTTATTTGCTTTTGTAGTTATCTATTATAAACAATTAATCTTAATATTCATATGAGAAGTCACTTTTCTTTTTATATAATTAGTTTAATAAAAATCCAGCTTCTCACCACCAATCATTACACAAAATGTTATCTGAATGCTTGTTCAGCTTAAAAACTAAAGACACATATAAGTGTATTCTTCAGCCCAACAGAAAAAAAAAACTATATTCTATTAGTAGACGGTTCTCTACTTATTAGTATACAGTTTCAGCTAAATGGTATCTTTGTAAGATAAAACTATATTTTCGAGGAACCAATTTAGGCCTTCTTTTTATGGTGTCAGATTAAAAGAAAAAATAGTTTTTCTGTAAGGAAATTACAGTTGTCGTTTTAATTCTACTCAACTCAGATGGGATTCAAGTGTTAAATTATATTTAGTAAATATGAAAATCCAATTGAAATAAATATCCATTCCTTGGTCAAATTCTGTCTTCAAACCAAATATGATCACTGATTACTTCTTTGAACTCTTAAATAGAGATTTTATAAAGCAAGGAAAGGTGAGATAAATATCACTAAAGGGAGAGTAGCAAGTAAAAATATTTAGTTCTATTATGAGTGTTTTAAATTGTTTCCTTATTGAATCAGTTTTATTATAAAATTAATATAAATAAATTATGAAACAGCTGGAAATTAGAGGGGGGAGGAAACAAGCCTCATAGTTTCATTACCTTACATATTCACAAATAGCACTTTGGAATATTTCCTCCTCTTTTTTCCCCTCCACTTTTAGGAAGTACTTTTTTCTATGTAGTTACAAACATAATAATACACAAATTCACTTTCCACTTTTTTTCTAACCTCACAATATTTGAAATGCATTTCTATGCCGTCACTTCATCTTCCTCTTCAATACACAATCTTTTACGCAATGTATATTAGATAATACTAATAATACTAACAGTTCACATTGATTGAACAGGTACTGTGCTTAGTGCTTTATCAGCATTATCTCATGCAATCCTCGAAACAACCCTTGATATTAGATATTACCATTTAAAACTGGAATTTTAAAGACTAGAAAATTTAGGCTTAAAATGTTTAAATAATTTGCCCAAGGTCAAACAAGAATTAAAGAGGTAGTACTTGAAGTCATCTATTTTAAACCAAAATTTGTACTCTGAATTAGCTTCACTAACCTGTCCACCTTGTGAAGAAATATTACTGTTTTTCTACTGATTTATTAATAACTGTAGGGTTCCTTCTGCTAAATTAACACAACCCATAAATGTATTGGCTAGAGAGAGCAAAAAAGACTTTGCAACTACTTGAAAGATTGGCTTTCATTTGCTAAATTGTCAATATTCCTCAGTGACCCTGTTCTTAAATTTTTAATCTATCTTCTCTGCAATGTACTCAGTTTCTCCTCTGAGCAGACAAATCGCCTTCCGTGAACTGTGGCCTACTTCTCTGCTAGTCTGATGGATCCACTCAGATGTTGGATGGCCACGTCCTGGCCAATCCTGGACTCCAGTGGGCTCTGCTACCACAGTGTTCCTGAGACATGTGGGGCTGAGGACTCAGCTCTCAATCTCTCCTTTTCTCCTAACTAGAGAATTCTGTTGTTGTACAGAGAAGCTTCTCCTGAGAGATGTCCTGCTGATTACTCTCACTCAACTTGACCTAGATAAACATCTGAAAGGAAATAATATGTCACATTGAATAAAATGACTATAGTAATTCTGAGAATAGGAAAAGCTTACAATGCACAATATTCCACCTGATTTCCAATATTTTTTTCTGTTGGTGATCTTGTGACCTTATTTATTCTATATTTTATTCTGCTGAGGATAAGTGAGGAAAGAAAGAAAATATTTTGTCTTTCCAGGAAAATCTAAGGAGGAATAAGCATAAGTAGCCAATTCCTCCTTCATTTCCCTTTCAGTTTCATACTGACTTCTTCAATGCGACAAGTGGATTGTGTACTAGATTTAACATTTAAAATCATAAAGGTTAAGACTATATTATACTTTTGGTTCAACAGATTACATAGGCGTTTGGTGAAGCAGCAAGCTACTCACAAAAAACAAACAAATATAAACAAATTTTAAATCTGGAGTCAAAAGCTTAAATGTTTAGAGGGTCCATCCTAAGTGAGTGAATCAGGCCACTCATGTACAATTTGAAACTTTGGTGCATGGGACAGTGAAGGCCTGGCTTCAAGAAGGATCTGCCCACTGCACCCTCCTCTGTGGGAGTTAAGGTCCACAGTTGCAAAATCTTTGCACTTTCAAAAAAGATTCCAGAAGTCAGGATTTGTATATAAATTTACCCACATTTTAAAATGTCAGAATACATTTTCAAATACTGGTCGGGTCAAAACATCTTCTTAGTGGGTAGGCTTTGGCCTAGTGGCCCGTATTTGACCTTCATTCAGATCCATCTCATACCAACAATCAATGACCAACACTGAATATTTGATTTTGAAATCTAGCATATCTGATTATGATTAAGTTATTTCCTGTGAAATCAGATGAAATTTTGCATTACCTTACTAGCTGAAACGCATCATGAATCAGACCTACTCTGTCCTTAGGTCTGAGAAGTGTGTGATTCTGACTCAGCTGTGTAATAAGTTGGTCCCATCCATGCCCCTCATAGTGAACAATGTAGTAGCCGTTTGAGTCCACATTGAATTTCACCCAACTGGTCTTTTCAGATAATTCCAGAGTGTCTAGAAGGAGGAAATTGGCATAGCATTTCATTATCAACAGACATACTAGGAACATCTCCAAAACTGTTAGTACTCACTCTTTTACTAAATAATCGGTAGGAAGACAAAGTTATGGAAGAATCATTGTGACATTCATTTTCATAGTCTACTGAGTGGTTTTTTTTTTGTGAGCTATGGTCTTATTAAATTAATAAATAAGTTAATTCATAGGAAAAAGACTGCTAAATTTGTTCTCAAACACAGTCTTCGCTGGTCTAAGAGGCCCAGTTAACCAGATGATAAGCATGATCAGAATCCCACTTGATTTATTTGTCTCTCTTACTGGTCATTGAAACATAGTTACTGGTCATTGAAACATGTACATGTAAAGACGTGATCCATTTGTCTAGTCCTTATTTGGGGTGAAATAAGGATTCCAGGTTCAACATGACATTATTATGGAAACCCTCTCACAGTTCAGTGAGGTGTAAGAGAAATTAAGATTGTAACATATATTTTTAATATGACAGACATTATACTATGTGGTAAAATAACATTATTATCATATTCTCTCAATAGTTCTGTGAGACCTAGTCCTCATGCAAAATAAGATGAAAAAATTGAAACTCAGGAGGAGTAAGGAATTTTCTTAGGGTCACACATATAATAGGTGATATAGTGAGGAGTTGAATCCAGGGCCATTTTGTTCCAAAGTGCATGTTTTCTTCCAATACATATTTTTGCCTTGTGGCAAACAAAAATGTTTCCAATACACATTTTTGCCAATTGCTAGGTTAGTAATTTAAGAGCTGTAAGATAGGAATCCATCATTTCTTGATACAAATACAAACCTATCTCTAAGTGCTAAAGCACAAGAAAACTTTCCACTGAATAGAAATTTGAACGTTCCAATTAAAGGATTCTTTTAGTAACTAACAAATGGATAAGTGAGAACTTCCCCAAATATAAATCTCTTATTATGATTTACTTATAGTATCTTTCCTCCAAATAAGCCAAAACATGTTTAATTTCAGAATTGAAACACCTGTTTGACTAATGAGTTTATTACCTGTCCTTGATTTTAGAACGTGTCTATGAACCACATTAGAGGAACTCGTGGAGTAGGTCAGTGGAATATGCCAGAGGAACCTATGTCAGAAAATAGAGACGGTTATGAATGGCCATTTTAACATTCACATTGCCAGACTCAGATAGGCTGTCAAAGGCACCTAATGGCCCATCTTTCACACCATCAGTGGCCTTGTAAATTTTATAGGCTAAGACTTGCAGATCCTTGAGTATGTAAAAATTCTTCTATGTGATTATAGAGGTGCAACAATATATACCTAGGTGAACTCTGTCACAATTACCAGTGTCATTTGCTGTCCAAATCTCATACCACAAGTTCTGCTGATTATTTTCTTCTAAGCAAGAGAAAAAAAAATTCAATCTTCCTTTCACAGTTTCAAAAACTCTGGCAGCCTGATATTAATTCAAATAACCAAGGAAAAGCTTCAAGAAAAGCCTCAAGAGATAAAGATCTGACTTCAGTATAATTTCCACTTGCCGTTTTGTTCAACAAAGCTACCCACACCCAACTCCTGCAACTGGTTAGTGACTGTAAGTGGTCAGCTATGCAACAAAAAAATCTAGGATCTGCAAATCAGCAAAGTCCAGAGAGCAGAAAAACAGAATGGATTGGAAGAAAGGCCAATTTCAATGTACTTCAGTCACTTTTCAATGGTCCTACTATGGTAAATAACAGAAATCGGCTGGGTCTTTTTTTTTTTTTTTTGGACTGGCTAGTAGGTTCTAGAATTTGTTTCCTCTATCACATCAAGCCATATTAGCTTCAGTAATCTTACACACGTAAAATCATGTGCTTGAAAATACTGACAGGTATAAAACAGAAAGAGGAATAATGAGGATTTACCTATTAGTCTTCAGAAAAATGTAAAACAATGAAAGAAACAGTATACACAGACTTTATCATAAAGGGTCAGAAGGGATAATCGACCTGCTAACCCACAAAGTATCAGTAATTAACAAAACAACCGAAAAATTTATATAAAAAGGTAAAAATAGACACATAGACATTGCCAGGACTTAACAGGATGATCTGGATTACTCTTGGCTCCAGAAGGAAAGGAATTTTTTCTAGGTAAACATATCTGGGAGTGAAAAAGAGGGAGAGTAGCATTTCATGAGTTTGGATAGGCATGAATCAGAGGGTAATAATTTTATAAGAGTAATCTAAATACTGCCTCAGAGGAAAAATACAGATCATTGTAGTAGATTATTTGTTATTCTGGACCATCCACACCATTGAACTCCCTCATGGCATTTGGATAAACTACAAAAGTGTGAATCATGCCTTCCCAGTAACAAAGCAAACATTAAATTTTCCAGGCTGTGTTGTCAAGATCTAAATTGTTTAAGCTCTTTGAGGTTCAGACTTCAGAAGGAGATACAGAAAAATGAAATGACGCGTGTATAGAGAAATGGCATTAAAGTTGCTGTTGGATTGGAAATAGGCAACTGACCAAATAAAAAAGAAAAACAATATATTCTCTGTGTTAAAGACTTTGAATTTGCTTCTGGTTCTCAGAAAAATTCTAGAATTGTTATTGGACAGATACATCCCAAAGAAATAACAATCATAAGAGCCAGTGCAGATTCACTTGTACTATTTCATTTACAATTAACCTCATTCATCTTATGGATAGAACCAATAGATCTGAGAAACGTGGACAGTGTTGTGTTTCTTGCTTTTAGTAAAGCCTTGAACACATCTTCTTTAGGTTAGGCTGGTGAGCAAGATGATAGTACGGTTCACTGGATTTGCTTTCATTATTACCAAGAACATCATATGTTTTTAGACCCCCTGTTTATAGTCAGTTACTGAAAAATAAAAGGCCACAGGAGGTTTAATTCCCAGGAATGTAATTCACCATATAGGGGATATATTTTCTCTTTTTTTTCAAAGACTTTATTCATGAGAGACACAGAGAGAGGCAGAGACAGAAGGAGAGGGACTCGATCCCAGAACCCCAGGATCACAACCTGAGCCAAAGGTAGATGCTCAACCACTGACCTACTCAGACCCTATTTGACCTCCTATTTTCTCTTCTGATAAGATATGGAGCTGTCATAACGCTTTCTAGGTATGCGCTGGTCACCAAACTTACAAGGCCCAAGAAATCTAGGATTGAAAAGAACAGGACATATTTTAAGAGCCACATAGCTGACCACCCCCTGCATCAGAACTGAGGGGCTGCCGCAGGTTCCTAAGAACACAGCTGCACGCTCAACAAGGCAGCCTGGGGCGCCCCCGGAGCTCTCTCCATGGGTTCTCAAGGCTAGCTCAGGCCTCTGACTCCTGCGGAGAAAGAGCATCCAGCCCGTTGCCATTGAAACTGAGAGAAAGCTAATGAACCAAGCAGCAAACTGAGCTGAAGGGAACTGGACCAACAGAAGAAACGCAGTCACCCTTCCTGCAGGGCCGTCCACTCAGGGTCCTCCTTGAAGACTCCGCTCAGGAAGCGCTCCTGCCTCAGTTTGAGGGAATGCCCTTCTCGTTCAATCACCAGGAGGGGAAGTCCTTTCTGCAGAGTCCAGGTCCTCATCATCTCCTTGACGTCCACATGCTCCCCCAGAAAGGCCAGCTGAAATGACAAGTGATTTTGGTGACTCGAGCCAGAGGAGAGACACCAAGGAGGGCAGAAAAACACAGAGACCTCCTTGGATGCCAGTAACCAGGCTGGAGGAGGAAGAGGGGAGGCCTCAGGGTATACCCTCAGGGCTGGGACTGGAGCCCCCTGCTCTCTGCAAGTTAACTGAAGGAGGGGTGGATGTGGGAGCGAGAGGGTTAACGTGTGGTGACAAAGTCCCAGAGGAAGGCCTTGATGCTGGAGCCTCCCTCCTGCTCCATTTCTTTTTTTTTTTTTTTTTTCCTGCTCCATTTCAAACCAAAAAAACCCTGAAAACAAAAACAAAAACAAAACAAAAAAAAAAAACACACCCCACCATTTCATTTTAAGAACAGTGGAGTCGAGGTGTTTAGGAGAGAAATGTCTATCTTTAGGGAGCTTTAAATATTCCAAAAGAACAATATTACATCAATAGATGTCTATTGAATAAAGAACAAAACCTCTAGCTCCCCAGCTTCTATTATAGATTTCAGATCACTGGATTATGCTGACTCTTCCTTTAAAAATTACAATTTATGGGATCACCATGACTCTTTTCAAAGGGAATTCTTTTCTTTCAGGGTGACTTTTCTTTCTCCTCCACTAAAGTGTTCCAATAAGTTCCCAGAAGTAAACAAAAAGACAGGGCCTCAAGAAAACCATTCACTATATTTCCAGACCTAACATATTTGGCTTGGCATGTTTTTGAGCCTGGAGGATGCCAGTGCAGCACTAACCACGCAGAGGAATTCTAAGCTGAGATATTTTTAGCTAGCAGTGGGGTTGTGGGAACGCTGAATTATAACAACAAAAATATAGTAGTAACAGCATCATCCCCCTAAATGGCCTGAACATGCCTATTTCAGTCAAATCTGTTTCAAGGAAAATTATGAAGTCTCTCTTCCTTTCCAGTTATTTAAAGAGACAGTTGATGGGGCACTTGGGTGACTCCGTCAGTTAAGTGTCCAGCTCTTGGTTTTAGCTCAGGTCATGATCTCACAGGTCAGGGGACTGGATAGAGCCTCTGATTCTCTTCTTCTGCCCTTCCCCACCCAGCACTCCCCCCTCTCAAATAAGTAAATAAATATTTTTAAAAAATAAAGGGACAGTTGGGCTACTCCACACTCACTACAGGTCATGTGATACCCCAGACTTCTACTTTGTAGGTTTCTTTATACTTACTATATTGCTTGTCATCTTGGAATTGGAATAACAAAATTCACCAGATGTAAAATCATCTAGACAACTCTGTAAAACAAGAATGAAAGAACACTGCCATTTTGGTTCTGATAGTCAGCTGAATATGCATATTAGACATGAATGCAGACATTTAGCAGCATAGATCTATGAAAATTTAATTGATCTAGTATGGAGCATAGCAATTCATGAAAATTAAAAAATAAAAGTATCTTGGCAGTGACCATAGGAAGTCCACAAAAGTTACTTATATACATAAAACAAAAATGATTTTTGTGGATTTCATATGGTCACTACCAAGATGCCTTTTTTTCCCTTTTTTTTTAATTTTCATGACTTGCTATGCTCCTTAACATGTCTATTTTCATCAATTAAATTTATATATGTGTGTGTGTGTGTGTATATATATATACATATATATTTATTTTAAGTTTTCTAAAGAAGTACAAGGTAGTAGAACAACTATTTTAAGAATGAATTAGTTTGCTGAATTTTTCTTTCATTTTTTCTCTTTCCCCTGGGAAAGGTCCTACTTTATTATTCTATTGTGTGTTCTACTCAGGCCCCGGTTTAGCATTTAGGCAACTGTGTCTCTAGTATTAACCTTCTTCTTTCATATCACAAATCCCTTGACTGGGGAGGGGGGATGTCTTTGCTTACCTGGGCATTCCCAATGACTCACAGTAGCTTATAAAGAGAACAATAAATTTTGAATTCAGAATTAAAATGAGACCTAAGAGAATCAACAACTTGTCTGTCAATCAATCCTTAAATAACAAGGATTGAATGCTTAAGGGGAACTGTAACTGGAAAAATAAGACATATACACTGTCTAAGGCTCTCAAATGCTATTAAATGATTTTGTGAAAAATAACAACAAATAATTCTTCTAATTCCCAAGTGGCTATCAAAATGTATTAGGAATGATATAACGTGACACAATTCTGAGTAAGATATTTACAGGAATTTATTGTTTTCATACCATACTTTCATTTGGCATCAGGAAGTGGTCAACTAGAACTAAGGACTTTCAGGGGAAGGTTAGATCAAGACTTTCCTGATAACTAGGAAGAAGCTGTGATGTAATTAAGAAAATGAATACTCAGCTTAGAATCAGAAGATAGATTTCAAGTACTGACTCTGTCATTGCATGGTGTATATATAACCTGCACCAATCTCTTCCTTAGTATTGTATTTCTCACTGACAAAAATGGGGTAAGAACGTTGCCTACCTTACCTTCTTGAGGTGGCTAATAAGCATGATGTGACAAAAATTAACCTAGAAATAGTCATAGCTGACCTAAAAGAATCCTGCAATTGTTGACCAAATTTCTCCTTTAATCTCTCCCCTCATATCCACTATGCACACCAAAGATGGATTGTTTCTTACTGAAGAAAGGCAAAGCGGGGGTCTACACACACACACACACACACACACACACACACACACAGAGCAAAGGAGAGGAAGAAGGAGAGGGATGGGAGATAAAAGCAATGTGAGGCTTGTTGAGAAGTTAGGAGGACTCTGGAGAGAGAGAATCACCTAGATTGTCGGCCGGAGGTAATGGAAATGGGTAAAGAGCATTTATATAGGTCAGACTAAAGACTGTGTATTTTGGTCCCTTTGTGATTTTCAAGAAATGTGAACAAAAGATTTGAACCATTTTGAAAAAATGTTTAACTAACGACTTTGTTTCTTTGACCACAAAATCACATAAATTATTAGGTCATGAGGGTCCAGACTTATGCCCTTATAAAAGGGCATAAAAAATCAAATGAGATAATGCACTTGAAATAACTTTTTAAACGATTAAGTGCTATACAAATGTTGAACAGTATTATTACTGTCCCTGGGCCATATGTGTTTATATACATGAGCTCCATCGGTCCAATACTTCTATAAAAGATTATTTTACTCCAAGTAGAAAATTTAAGAATATTTTAATAATTATTAGAATTATCTGAGTTGACTGCATGTTTTCTTCATTTTACCTATTATACTACATGAATCCCAATAACAAAGAGACCATGTGTTCTTTAATCAATAATTAACTGTTTTTTATCACAATGCTAATTGCCATGGCATTAAAAAAAGAATAGATATGATTCTTGTTCTTAAGCAAATTTTAAATTATTATTTTTTTTAATTTTTTTTTTAATTTATTGACGATAGTCATACAGAGAGAGAGAGAGGCAGAGACACAGGCAGAGGGAGAAGCAGGCTCCATGCACCGGGAGCCGTATGTGGGATTCGATCCCGGGTCTCCAGGATCGCGCCCTGGGCCAAAGGCAGGCGCCAAACCGCTGCGCCACCCAGGGATCCCTTAAGCAAATTTTATTATTATCATTGTTATTGTTGAACCATTATAAACTAATAAAAGAGAATGTCACTGCGTGGAACAGAATCATAAACACACTTCGACGTATTGAGCAGAAAGGTGAACCATTGAGGGGTGCGTTAGTCTGTAAGGAGGAAGTAAAATCTCAGCTAGAATTCAAAAGACGGATGGCACTTGAATTGCTGGCAAGAAGAAAGTGCATTTCACGTAGCAAGGGCACTAGAAACAAAAACATGGTGACATAAGGATTGAGCAGGATTTCTTCCTATGAGGGAGATGTGTCTCACTGAATGGAGAATACATGCTGGACAATAAAGTTGAGAAAGTAGAGTTCAACCTTAAAATTTGGACGAGAAGATTAGATGTTCATGGCAGGAATTACAAAGACATTAAAGATTTTGGAAAATGGGGAGACAAAACTATTGGGTTAACGAGAGAAGGTAACCAGAGAGGAGGGCCAAACGTCAAACACCTGTGACTATCCCAGTGTGGGTGGCATCCTGGTTTAGTGTGGTGCTAAAGAAAAAAGGAAAGTTCTGCCTTCTATGGACCCTGGCAATGTAGAAAGTGGAATAAATATTGGATGACTGACAATATGTCTATTTATAAACCTTCATAATTATGCTGTTACATCTTAGGCTTAACAACAGTCTACTGTTACCCAACAGATGACTTACATTTGACAGACTTCTCCACAAATCATCATTTTTAGCATTTCCATAACCGAATTTCTTTAAGTAGTAAATAACTCCTTTGCGAAATTTCTCCTCATTCAGAAAATCTTTTAGCATATTCAAAATACAAGCTCCCTTAAAAAAAGAAAGAAAGAAAAATAGGTGGTATGATTTATTTTTAAAGGAAGTTTAAATTTTATGGAACATGCATAATGTCTGAAAGATGAACATCAAATATAACAAAAGTATAACAAGTGGCAATAACCTGGAACCAATAACTACAACTGCTGATTTAACAAGCCTCATTATATTTCTCCTGAAAGCGGAGCTTCCACTTGCCCACAGCATTAAATACCTTGTTATAGGAAACTGCATCAAACATTTCCTGTATCTGAGTAGGAGTTTCTGCTTGGTTGGAGATAGGATGGGACGAATTTAATGAATCCTTTTTAATTACTGCAAAACATATATGGCAAAAACCATCATCCTAAAGAGGGAAGAAAATTTTTTCACTTTCAATTTGGCACTTTCAAAGCAGTAGAAAACACAGGAGGCTTAGTAACCTATTCCTAAAAGTTTTCGACCAATATGTCTTACAACTGATTGAAAATTTCTATCACATTATATATTCCCCTTCCCCCAATTCTCTGCTTCATAAATATATAAAACCAACATTCCTTCAGACATTCTTTGAATGTTTACCATATACCAAAGCCCTTGGATACAGAAATAAAATGGTTCCCATTTAGTGAACACTTGCTATGTGCCAGGACCTTGTATCCGTCATTTGTAACCCTATCAACGCCCTACAAAGTAGATGCATTGTATGCACTTTACAAGTGAGGCTATATGAAGTTTTAGGATTACACCATGGACTCAACACAAAGCAAATAAGAAGACACTAACTCTGAGTCCATGTCTGTCTAAATGATCCTGGACCACATGCCTACCTCAAAGGGCTAATTAACCATTACAAACTACTATGATATGAAGGGTTTAGATTCATTATGCCTAAAGAAAAAGACATGTTTGAAAAAAATCTTTTCATACATTTTGGGAAGTGAATTCACCTTTTGAAATTTCTAGAGGAATGTGCCCCAATTATGCTTAATTTTTAGGTTACATGCCAAGAACTCTTCACAGGATCCTTAGCCACGGGCACCATCTTGTCCTACATCATTGTATATACACATAGGTTTTCTTTCCTTTCACCTCACATACACAGCTGTGTATTTGTGCTATTTGCGCTCTCTGTCCGTAGATGTTTGGTTGAGGGATTTATGTTATGAGCAGAATTGTATATATAGCATGACATACAAAATTGTAAACTTACAAATTGTAGCTCTGGATATGTGGCATTAAGAGAGATGAGTTCCATGTATGTTGCAAAACCTTCATTGAGCCAAATATCATTCCACCATTCCATTGTAACCAGGTTCCCAAACCACTAGGAGGCAAAGACTCAATGTTATTAGAAATTAAACAAATATTGGGGTGTCTGGGTGGCTCAGTAGGTTTAGTGTGGGACTTGTGATTTCAGCACAGGTCATGATCTCAGAGTTGTGAGATCCAGCCCTTGGTCCCACTCCATGCTCAATGGGGAGTCTGCTTGAGGTTCTCTCCCTCTCTGGTTGCCCCTCCCCCCACTCATGTATGCACTCTCTCTCTCTCTCTCTTTCTCCTCTCAAATAAATAAACCATCTCTTTAAAAAAAGAAATAAAGCAAATATAAAAAATTATTAATTGTAGCAAAAAGTACAACGGGTGGTAACTTCCTTCTTTTGGTGGTTAAGGCCCTTCCTCTCTCTGTTACCCTTGTCTCTCTGTACAACTTCCTTCTACCAATTTCTTTGCCTTCCCTTCTTTTTTTTTATCTTTTTTTTTTAATTTTTATTTATTTATTTATTTATTTATGATAGTCACACAGTGAGAGAGAGAGAGAGAGAGAGGGGCAGAGACACAGGCAGAGGGAGAAGCAGGCTCCATGCACCGGGAGCCCGATGTGGGATTCAATCCCAGGTCTCCAGGATCGCGCCCTGGGTCAAAGGCAGGCGCTAAACCGCTGCGCCACCCAGGGATCCCCCCTGCCTTCCCTTCTCACCACATTTTTGCTTTGGTTTCACTTTTCTTTCTTTTGTCTTCATTGCCCTCTCCAACTTCCATTTTATTCTCCCAACATTTCCTAGCTATTAGATTTAATATTAAGGAAGAAAACAAAATCATTTGTGGGGGAAGTACAAACTCACCTTATTCTTGATTTATGGTGGTGGTCTTAGGAGAAATATAAGCCTAAATATCTTTGGTGAAGTCACTTCCTTACATTAAGTAGTAGGTACTTAAGAGAATGGTTAAGAATTCGCTTAGGACTCTCAGATTGCTACATAGTATTACTGATGAAGGAATTTAGTTGTCAACTTTTGCTCTGACTTCCTTCCAGGGATTAACCTGGACACTAAAGCGAATAAAATTCTGCAATTTTAAATATATATACATAAAATTAATAAGATGCCTAAAGAAAATCTAAATAGAAATTTACCTTTAACCTATACTTGATCTGTAACACTATATTTAAGCATTACTACTTTTTCATGTACTTTTGTATTTTATTTAGCCTGTATGCCCAGTACTATCCATCTAGTTTATCTGTTTTAGGATTGCAATCTCCTGAGGGGTAGGAAATTAAACAAAAAAAATTCTAAGATTCAGAAGAGTTTTACAGTTATAGCTAGATATGAAGCTTCTAAAAACTGTTAAGGTCTATTTCTTTTCTGACAACCCTCAAATCATTTTACAAGTGGGCACCAATCTTCCTAAGGACATCTGTGAAAAGGGATGGAGGTGTTTCCTTAATTTGAAAGTGATGAGTATGAAAAATACAAGTTGAGCTGATTCTGGTAATGTCACCAGTTACAAGAGTGGTTTATTCATTCATTCAATAGATATCTATTGATAATCTACTACATTACTGGCAATGAGTTAGAAATATAAAGATGTATGTAATACAGCCTCTGCCCCAATACAAATGACAGAGGTCAAGTGATAGATAAATACAATGAAACATTATTATGCTATGACCAATGCCTGTACAAGGGATAGAGAGGATTCCAGGAGTTAAAAATAAGTTCTTCTAGGAGAGTGCCTAAGTTAGTTAGGAAATGATTGGTTCCCTGAGTCTTCTTGTTGGGAATAGTGTGTACTCTAGGCAGATTAAGTAGTAGGAGCAAAAGCATAAAGGAGCAATACAACCTGGCTTATTCAGAAATGGCAGATAGCCTGGGATGGCTAAAGCTTAGGTTTGGTTAGAGATGAAGTGGAGAAGGGCTTCATCCTGGGCACCTTGTATGCCATGTTATGGACCCCTGACCCACTCAGTTGGTGTTGGGAGTCTTTGTCAGAGTGAATGGTCGCATGGAGACAAATGGGGAAACAAAAATGTCAAGACAAAAATTCCACTGCTGCCTACTGCTTCAGCTCTAGACTCTGCATCTCCAATGAAAGAGAAGCTGTAAAAGGAAGGCCTAGAGGAGCCTCAGAAGTAGAGCTCTCCAACCATTTCTCTATGAACATTCAGTAGAAAGATTAGAAATCCTCACATTCAGTCAAGTGCTCTAAGGCTATCAGTGACTAATGATCAAAAGCCTTAAGATGGGCCAGTGGGGAGATTCTAAACCAGAGGAAGCTGTACATATGTTCTTAGAGTACAGTGCTGAGCATGGTTCCTATGTAATTGGGTACTTGGTTCACTACTTAAATAAAATCCAACGTATTATTATAATAACGATAAAGGATAAAGTTAAAAATTAAAAATAAGATATTGCTGGCTCCTAGTAAATACAATAAAATGGTATTTGTCTACATGGTGAAGGAGAATTTCTGGGGCCCTTAACAATTCAGTTTGTTACTAGGGATTTTCAGAAATGAAATAGAGTGGAAAATAGTCTCTGATATCCATACAGCTAGTTTTACACTTCCATATTTGCATCTAATACAGTGTTGATAGATGGCCTAGGAAATGGAAATTTCATAGCCTGCAAGAAATGGTAGCAGTAGCAGAGATCAGTGCTGCCATCATTAATAACCAACACTTATTGAGTGTGACAGGCACTGACACTTATCTGTAATTCTTTACAACAGCTGCAAGAAGCAGGGAGTATTATTAATTTAATTTTATAGACGAAGACAATGAAATTTAGAGGATTAGGCAATGTGTCTAGGGTCAGCTGCCTGTAATGGCTTGAACTTGAAGTACTCGTGATGGCTATATAATGACAGGTTTCAACTGAAGGGGGATTGGTTTTGCCCTAGACTAGGGGTATAAGGAGAAATACTTTTAATAGAAATCTCTACTTGTAGGGTTTCCAATTCTGTGTCCTATGTATCTGCATAATCCATACCTTCTTTACTAAAATGCATTGGAAGGCTTTGCCTTAAAGAGTTTTAGATGACACAGTGGCCAGTGATAACACTCCTGTGATAACACTCCTGTGTGAGTCTCCTGGTCTAGAAATTGAAATCTCTGCTACTTGACATACTGTTTGGCTTGATAGTCTCTAAGGTTCTCTCTAAGGGTAAAACGATATAATTTTATGTTGTTTCAGGAAGACTGCTGATGTACTGTACAATGCTTTTTTTTGGGCTGATACTAAGAAAATGTCATGAGTGTCAGGTACCTGGTGTGCTAGTTCATGGGCTATGACTTTGGTGACCCATAGTTTATCAGAAGCAGAAGAAGTCTTAGTATCAAAGAGCAGGGATGTCTCTCTATATGTGATGAGGCCCCAATTTTCCATGGCTCCAGATTCAAAGTCAGGAATGGCAATTAGATCTAAGAAATAAGAACAACCATATTTGATCATTATGGCTTCTGCACCAGAAATGGGTTTTGTTTTTCTTTTTTAAGAAATGAGGTTTACTTTCTCCTCAAATACATTGTGATGCTTTCATGTATAAGTAGGTTTTCTGGAAACATCAAGACCATTGTAACATTGACACAGTGTCTCATAGTTGCACTGAAAATAGTCAGTACCCATCACTGAGCAGCATTAATTCTATCAATACAGCTTTGGTTAGAGCTGAAGTAACCTGTTGACATTTAACCATTTGTTTTGAAGCATGCTAAGCTCGGCAAATACCTTGGGTGCATTACTGCTAAGAAAATCATTTTTTTAAAAAATACTCATATTAGGGCAGCCCAGTCGGCTTAGCGGTTTAGCGCCAGCTTTGTCCCGGGGCATGATCCTGGAGTCCCCAAATGAGTCCCACGTCGGGCTCCCTGCATGGAGCCTGCTTCTCCCTCTGTCTGTGTCTGTGCCTCTCTCTCTCTCTGCGTCTCTCATGAATAAAGAAATGATTTTTTAAAAAAAATACTCATATTTTGTATTAATACTACTCAAAAACTTTGAAAGGTATTAAATAATTTTTAGTATGTTTGAGATTCATCAAAACATAATTAAATCATTTCTATAAAAAAGAGAATGAGATTTTAATTTCAGAAAAACATCTTTTAGGAGAAATCTCTATTGTCAATATTTCAATTAGTACTTCAAGAACCTACAGCCTCTATTATGAGCAAGTGTCCTTTCTAAGGCAGTACAGGAAAAAAGCTGTGGGCATCAATTTTTTCTGACCTCAATTTCCTTTTCAGCATTGATATTTTTTCTACCTCTTAACAAAGTCTTGAGTAAAAAAAGTGAAATGTGATCAGCTTTAAGCAAGTCGAGCATAACGTATATTAATTTATATTATATCTCTATGTGTGTGTATGTTTATCCTTTGCCATCGGTGTCACGTAGGTCATAAAATTTCTGGCTAATATTTAATCTTGGAATTTTTACTTTTTATTCTGCTATGTCATTTTGGAAGAAGTACTGTTTGACTAAAAAGAAAGGTAATTCTTTTTAAGTTGAAACAAACCAAGCTACTTGACTTGTGATTACATTGCCTGGAATTAACACTAGTTAATTCTAGTGGATAAAACAAATATTTATAAGACAATCAAAAATAAATTAGCATCAATAAAGATTAGTATTCATTGGTACTTCACCTGTGGGAATAATTCCTTTTGTAAATTGCACTGATGATTTTATATTAATTGGATTATTTCCTATAGTCATTAGAGATACTTATATCTGGTTTAATTTTTCCTATACTGTACCCTTCTTTTCAGTTATTTTTAAAATACATTTTGTAGGGTTGCCTGGGTGGCTCAGTCGGGTAAGCATCTGACTTTGGCTCAGGTCATGATCCCAAATTCCTGGGATTGAGCCCCGAGTTGGGCTCCCTGATCAGTGAAGAGTCTGCTTCTCCCTTTCTCTCTCCATCTGCTTCTCCTCCTGCTCATGCTCAAACTCTCTCTCTCTCTCTCAAATAAACAAATAAGTAAAATATTTTTAAAAATAAAATACATTTTGGGCAGCCTGGGTGGCTCAGCGGTTTAGCGCGGCCTTCAGCCCAGGGTGTGATCCTGGAGACCCGGGATCGAGTCCCACATCGAGCTTCCTGCATGGAGCCTGCTTCTCCCTCTCCCCGTGTCTCTGTCTCTCTGTGTGTGTGTGTCTCTCATGAATAAATAAATAAAATCTTAAAAAAAAATAAATACATTTCATATGATCTTTAAGGCATAGAAAAAGGTTGTATGCTCTGGAAACTTCATTCAATTAAATCTAACCTGCCATGCAGCTATTTTAATATGAACCTAATAAAAGAATAAAATGATCCACACTACTTGTACTTCTCATAAATACCTTCTCTATGCTCAAGAACCATCTCTGAAGTAAAATTATTGCTTCCTGGGCTAACTGAATCTCTTCAGTACTCCTTTAAATCACATATAAAAAATCAAAGCAAGGTTTATAAGCAAAAATAAATATAATGACATGGAATTTGAACCTACCCAGTTTGGGGAGTGGATAGTTGATATCAAAGTAATTTTCATAAAAATTAAGTAGCTTTAATGATGCTTCCAAAGCATAATGTGTTTGACTCCATTTGTCTGGGGATGCATAGATAGACACCTGGAAATATTAATCAGAAGAAGTTGTCTTTGAATATCACAAATCCTTGGCACAATTCCATTCCTGACAGTCCTCACTCAAAGAAAGGTAGACCACATTTTTCAAGAAATGATTGTGATAGAATTAAGCATGTTTTTGATGGGGATAAGATGTTCCATAAAGTATTACAGCAAAAGTCAGTCTTAAGAATTACAAACGACCCTGTGTTCCCTGTTATAATCCATTTCCTAGGTGCTAATCTGTAAATTTCAAGCTTTATGGATCCATTTTATCATGAGATGCCACTTGAACTCATCACTGTCATGCATTCTAGCACTTGAGTGTTAGCCTTCCAGAATTGTGTCCACCAGCACAAGTAAAATAAAACATAAGTACATAAGTTGGAAAGTCTTCAAGAACTTATTGGATCCATCTTCCCATCTAGTTGACTCTAAACTCAAGAATATCCAAATATGTTCATTTACTCCCTCCAAGTAAATAGCCACTGAGTGGAAAAAAAATAAAATTACATTCCACTTTTATCAGGTTTCAGGGATGGGTTTACTTTCATTTCATGATTTGCTTTCTTGCTCTGAATTATCTGAAATCCCTGAGAACTTTTATAGGAAGGATATGTTAATAGTTACCATTTTTTGATGGCTTATCAGGCACAGTGCTAAATGTATACATGTGAAATCTAACTGAATTCTCTCAACAACCTTATTAAAAGATAGAAACACATGAAAATTAATTTGCTCCAAGTCACCCATACACCCATATAGAAAATTGTAGAGCTGGGATGTGAAACCTAGGAAGCTCACTGGAACTTGAAGTATAGTGCCCTCTGACTGCTCACATTTCTGTTACCTATGCACACCTGAAGCTGGGTATGTTATGTATGTAGATACATTGTAGATATATATATATATATATATATCTGTAAGTATAATAAGTATATAAGTTGAAATAGCCATATTATAGCTGTTTTTAATAAGCATTATTTTATGGTTCTTTGAATATTTTTATGTCTACATTTGGTTCTTCAGGGTAAGGAGATGATGATAATGATGTTTCTCTATTGATATTTGCAAAACTGTAAGATACTCACTGGGTGTTGTAAATTTTTTCAAATAATGAAGACTTTAAAAATTACAAAGTCTACCTCTCATTGGGGAAAAAAGTTATTATAGAAAACAATTGGAAACAATATGAATGTCCTAAAACAAGATACTGATTAAAATTTTTGGTACATCCATGCAATATAACACTAAGGTATTATGAACATAATATTATAGAAAATATCCATAAAATATACTATAAAATATCATAACAAAATATTATAGAAAAATTTAATGGCATTCAGTTCGTATGGCATATTATGGTAAAAATAGAGTGAAATAAGGTTAAACTTTATTTTGTAAAGAGTAAGTATATACAGCTATTGTATACACTCTCATATACTGACATACATACAGAAAATATTTGAAAAGTTTACACTAAATTAGCAATCATTGTATCTTGGTCATGGGATTTATAAACTATTTTTTGCCTATTTTGTAAAATAAACATGATACTTTAGTAATAAGAGAAAAAGAAATCTTAAGAAAATAAAAGCTTATTGCTCTCAGGACAGTGCATAAAATTAGAACTCAATCTCACCTTGACCCCTGAGGAGGTTGTGCCACTTACAGAGATGAAATCACAAACTACGTAGGCTACAAGGTATGTACTCATTTTTACAGAAGTTTCAAAGTGATCTTCTAAGATGCCTCCCTCAAGTTCAATTGTCTTAACCTACAGGAAGAGGAAAAAACAGTACTTGAAAATGTGAGTATTTGACAATGTCCATGACTTAAGCCAGGTTAGTTAGAGGAAGGTCCTGATACTTTGAAGGACACTTGATACCATTATAGGAAATTAATGGCCCATCATAATATTGTGATCTCTCCTCTCCTCCTTTTGTGGGTTTTTTTTTTTAATCCCTGGACTTCCTCAAAGACTCAGGGTACCACTTTTGGGATTCCAGAATGATGCCAAATCTTTTTTGTTTCTTGAAAGCATAAAAATATTTTAGATGGTTCTACTTTTTTGAAATGCAGTAATCTCCAACACTGGCATAAATTCAAAATCTGTACTTCTAAGGAAAAATATCAAAGAATGTCTCCTTTCCCTTTGTTTGTTATATAAGAAATCTCTGTTGCAGAAAGGAATGGGACGCAAAACTCTGTGAAATACTTTTCATCATCTTTTAATCCTCTTATTATTTATGTGTGAGGTAGGTGTTATTTCACAGGTGAGGAAACAGAGCCTCAGAAACATTAACTGAATTGGCCCAGGATCACATGGCTAGTTCCACAGCAAGACCAAGATGTGGATGTGACCGTGTGACTCCAAAGACATTGCTCATTCTTTCACTCGCTGTGTGACAGCTTGAGTCATAGTCTTATTTTATCTTTGCTTCATTGATTCAGCAATGAAAGCAGGCAGGCCAAGGAGGTCATTAGTAATTTAAGCTTCTGCCTATCTCCGGAAGAAGTAAGAAGTTTTAAGCCTACAGACTGGTCAGCCACATCTATCAAAATCACTGAGTAATTACCAAATTCTATCTTTATTTGCTCAGGATAGCTTGCCCCAGAGATGGTCTCCACCATGGTACAATGCCCCCAAATATTGAACGGACACAGATCCAAGAATCTGAAAATACCGCTTTCTTCAAATGGGTAACAGCTCTTAGACTAGCTTTCCCCTCCCAACATCCCTTTGAAGGCATCAGGCTCGTGACAGGGCTTGTTAAACATGTTTTATCTGTTTGGATAAGATCGCAGTTTGCTTTGGCAAGAGAAAATAGCTTGAAGTGTTACCAGAAACTGCCTCGCATTCTTAAATAACAAATGTTTGCGCTATTTAGTCTTTGTGCAACAGGATTTGATTCTACAGAATTCTATTTTTAAAAAAATGAGGTCCAAAGTTTTAATAAAGCAGAAGACACTGACCAAATACTTTTAGAAAGGTGGCAGTATATATTGGACTATGATATATAGATATATCTATATGATATATATATATATGATATATATATATATAATATCCTATTATATATCCTACAAGTTAACTTTGCAGAAAAACAATCTCTTTTTTTTTTTAGGAGTCTGACTCAACCAGAATTCTATGAGCACATATTTCTACAGAGGTGAGGATTATGGCAGAGGCCGGGGAGAGGGCCTTATGACTGTAGTCTTAGGAACAAACTCTGTAAAAAAAAAAAAAAAAAAAAAAAAAATAGGGCTAGGGTGTTAGAGCTGGGAGGGAAGGAGGAGGAAGGCTGTGGGACTACAGGAGAATGAGAGTCTGTGACACTAGACACTGGTGGCAGGAGTGGTTAGGAGACAAATGGGCGATCCCTCTGTGTTCTCCCTCCAGATGCAGATGTAGCCCATGGAGGCTGAGTTTTGTTCAGGAACCGGGGACAACCCGTGTAGATTAACATTGCCTTAAATGGAAGCATATGAGGTGTTAGTGTATGTTCTTCCAGGATGATGATGTAATCTCCAAGTAGGGAACACTTGTTGCTAGACAAGGATTTAGCTGTTTCTCAATATTGGCAGGACTTTACTTACATAGCAAGTGTCGCCAGCAGGTGTGTGTTCCTTTAAGGAATGAAGGGAACAAAGAGAGGCCCCAAAGATAGGCTGCCTCTAGTAGAACTTAGCTGGCCACCTCACTTCCTTGAAATCTTGTATTCTTAACTAAACAGATTGAGAACTTAGCATGTGTTGCTTCTTCTCACCAATCCATAACCCGACTTAATTGCTACAGCGATTGGCCAGAGTGTACGATTGTGGCATTTCTTCAGTTGTCCTTTTTCGGCCAACTTTGAGAGAGCCTGGGTTGGGCATGTCGGTGAGAAGCAGAAAGTCAAGCCAGTATTTGCTGGAAAAGGCACAATCCAAAGAACTGAACAAGTCAGTTGAGGCAATGCAAGTATTCAAGGATTGCATAAAACATTTTTGAAATATTCACTTATTTGTCTTAAATATGAGAAATGGCTGGAGGATTCTAAAGATAAAAAACCCAAATTCTCATATAATGAAATGGCAATTATATTTGCACCACATTTTAATTAAAAGGCTTCAATAAGTATATTTTTATTACCTTCCATGATTGTTCATAGGAAAAATGACATTAATTAAAAGCTGCCGGGAAAGAGACTGAGCTGCCCTTAAATGAACGTTCAGTTAGAAAGCAGACTTGGAGTTCCAAGTAGAGGATCATTTTTACCCCGAAACGAGTAGGCTGATTAAATTGCCGTCCTTGTGATCGGGGAAAAACTAGGATATGTGTCACATGGAGTATTGTCACTTTCCACCTTGATCTGCTCTGCCGGTGTATCAGAGCAAATACCTTTACCAGCATGAAACAGAAATCTAGGGAAATTCAGTGTCTCATGTTATCGACTCATTTCTCCCCTTCATCCATAGGGGACCATCTCTGTGGAGGGCAGAGAGAAAAATGTGGTAGGGCCCCTTGCTGGCTTGTGATGGCCCAGCTGCTTTCTGGGCTGCTCATTTTGCTAAAGAACAATCAGAATAGCCTCTAATTTTGTCTCACTTTCCAAGCAGTGGTTGAGAAATATTTTATATTTTTTGTCCAACATCACAAATGGCAAGTACATCATTAGTGAGGAAATATCAAATGAGGCCCACAGCCTGCTGTATCTTTCCGAGTCTGAATTTTGAGTCCAAATAAAATGTTCAAGTGTCTCTTTCAATTAAAAAAAAGTATATGGCTACAATAGATGAATTTCACAGACGATCTTAAGAGTTACCCATGGAACTTAAAAGAAAAAAAAAGAATTTCTAAGTTTCATCAGAGATCAGAGATCACTAGCTCAGAATTTCCAGGGTTCTCTAGATCCTTCCCGCTCTAAATGTGATGCCTAGACCAGCAGCAGTGGTATCACCTGGGAGCTTGTTAAAAAGCCAGAACTTTGAGCCTCACTCCAAGCTGGATCAGAATCTAAATTTTAACAAGATCCTCAGATGACTCATCCGAATATTAAAGTTTGAGAAGTGCTGCTCTGTCTGCGTGGTTCTGAATTTCATCCCTAGCCAAGTAACACAGATTTAAAAGGAACATTGTTTCCATATGAATACAAATAAAATATAAATCACTTTGTGTTTTTTTTTAACTTCTGGTATAACAATGCCCCACACAGAATGATGTTAAAATCTAGAAGGATTGGGGTTATTATAGAATATGTAGGTGGATAAAAAAATAAATAACGGCTTAAATTTGAAAACAGGAAATGTAAATAAATAAATAAATAAATAAATAAATAAATAAATAAATAAATAAAAAAGACCAAGGGTCAACTTGCGATGATTCCCCCAAAGTTTCTGAAAGTGACAATACCTTTGGCATGTTGGAGAGTGCAACGTGTCCACTTTCTCTTCTTATCTTGATGGAAAATTTGGCTTTAAACAGTGGTTCATCAAAACAAGGGAAAGCCATCCGTGCTCCAGTTGGCTCAAAATCCGTTACTGCAATTATTCTGTGAAGTTAAGAAACCACCGGCCAGAATTTGCAAGTGAAACCAAGAAAAGAAATGCACTATGCCATCAGGACACAGGTTATCAAACCTGGAGGTGATATATTTGACTTCTCAAACCATCATCTTAGTGAATCTAGGCTGTCTTCTTAAATAAAACAGGGGTCAAATTGTGTTTGGTGGCTGCCAATCATGAATAATGCACAGTGCTGCACAGTCCACTTACATGACCTCCTTCATACTCGTAGTTGACAAGGATCAGAGACTTTCAGTGACTCAGCTGCTAAATGAAATAGGCACGCCCCATCAATTTGATGCCAAAAGTGACTACGATTATTATTGGGTAAGGACCATCCCTAAGGAGGGGGCTTCAGTTGGAGATTTGAGTACTTGTGAATATCAGGGATGTCTTAGGTTGTGTTCTCAGGAAGCAGGCCCTGCTTTATTAAAAACATGCCCCCCAGGAGATGCTAAGGAGGTAGGGAAGGAGCGAGGGAAACAGGAGAGGACAGAAGAAAAAGCCAGGCTGGATCCAGCTTCAGCCTGCACTCTGGGGAGCTCTGGAATGGAAACTACACCTTTGAGTTTTCCCCTATCGGAAGCAAGGAGCTGGGATTTCATATTCTGTACCCCACGGGGTGGGGGGGGGGGCGGAGTCTAACTCCCAGAAACTTCTAGGTTTCTCTGCTTTCCAGCAAAGTAGTTCCAGTCCACAGACTATAATAGATACATAGTTATTCTGACAAATCTCTCTACCTTATCACCTTGATAATGCCTGAAATTGTATAATTATAGACGTATTCTTTGGACTTTAAGCTTCAATTAAGAAACAAACCTGGAGTGCAGAGTTTTGTTAGAGAAGGAGGAGAAATAAAGGTGGAGAAGGCCCAGGAGGGAAAGAAGAGGAGCTGTCAGGATAATTGCGCCTCAATTCACTTTGTTTCTATAATATAGATTGGAGAATGAGGCTGGGGAGCCAAACGATTTGCTTGGAACTTCCGGCTTTATTTGGATTTGGTAGCAGCTACTACAAGAATAAAGGAGTTCCACATGCCCGGAAGAATTTTCACTGCTGTGAACTTTTGTTTATAGTAAGTCTATATTGGGAAAGTGGAAAATTCAATTTCTTTTCTGCTACTTGCACAATTAATTTTGGCTCTGCATGCAAAGTAGTGATTTCTTGCTTCTCACAGAACTATTGTTGACTGGATTATTCTATATTTTAGGTTAAGTCGTGTGTGTGAGTGTGTGTGTGTGTGTGTGTGTGTGTGTGAGAGAGAGAGAGAGAGAGAGAGAGAGAGATTCATGAGTCTCTTGACACTGTCCTGCAAATCATCCTACGTGTTAGACCTACTATGTGATTGAGTATGAAGAGAACTAATCTTAAGAAGAGTCACAAATAGCCTGAGGTTAGTTACAAGAGCTGTACTCAAAAAAATCCTCCCCTCCCCTCCCAAATTCCCACATCTCCCAAAATGGTATCCTTAAAAAGTACTTCTTTGGGGTGAAGGCTTTGTCACTTCAAAAAATGAAAAAGCCACACTGGTCACATGTTGCCTAAGTGAGCAAAATTGATAATAAATTCCCTATCTGCCACTATGCTGGCTGAGATTAGACCCATGAGAAATGAGGTTGCATTGAGGGGGTATCCCCAAGGGGAGGGGCAAAGACATGGGCCTAAAGGACTCCCCTAAGTAGACTTCTGGGGACTAGGCAGGGGAGGGGGACGGCACATGAATCCCCAGAGGGCAGTGAGCACCTAAGGCGGGAAAGAAGAGATATGTAGCAGACTTTGCTAAAGTCACCCACTCATTCCCCTTCTCCAGTGCCAATGAAATCCTGATTTTACTCAAGAAGACAATGTGTCCAGATAAAAGAATCACCTCTTCAGATTCTCTTGCAACTTGGTGGAGCAATATAACTCATTCTGGCCTGGCTAAAGTCAATGAGTGGGAAAACTTTGTAAAATATTCAGCTGAAATGTTTCTTTTTGCCTTTTTCTCTCCCCCAACCCCCGACCCCCTTCCTACAATGTGGACTTGATGCCTAGAGGTGCAGAAATCATTTTGTATTAGGAGGAAAGCCACATGCCAGGGGTGCTGAGCAGAAAGATAGAAGAAGCCTGGGTCCCGGATAGCACGGAAGAGGGTTGTAGCAAACCTGGGCTGCCCTGTTTCTGGACTTCCTGTTGCATGAGAAAATAATGGCCTCCTCTGTGGTTAAGCCACTGTATTTGGGTTTCTCTAACTGGCTGTTGAGTGTCACTGATAAAAGGTGGGAAAGTACTGAAACCAGACTCCTCTTCCCTCCCAGATGGACCCTGGCCATGGGCAACCAAAGCACCAACTCTATAAAGCATCACTGATGCTTCTCTTTCTCTAATTTCACATAACTATCAGAAAATTCTGTTTTACCCTCCAAAACAAATGCCAAGTTCAGTCCCTTGACTCCATAAGCACTGCCACTAGCCTGGCTCAAGCCACCCTCACTTCTTGCTCACACCACTGGAATGGCCTCCTAAATAATTGCCGTCCTCTATGTCCCCTCTCTCCCTCTCTGTAATGTACTCTCAACATATACTTGAGCTTTATGGAGCATACCTCAGATCAGAAGCTCCTGAGAATTCCTACTGCACTGGAGGAGCCTAACCTCCCTACAAGAGGTTCAAAGTCTTTGCATGATCTGACCCCTTTATACTCTACTTCTCTCCTTTGTCACTGTCCTTAATCCATGCCGGTCAATCCATATTTCTAATTTCTCCAAACAGACTTGTTCCTGCCTCTTGGATTTGAGTCATGCTGTTTCCTGGGCAATGTACACACATTCTCACTTCCTTTCTCTCAGCCCAAATCTCACTTGCATTTCCTTCTGGTTCCAGATCAAGACTCACCTCCTTTGAGAAGCCTTCCCTATTTCAGCTTTCTGTGCCAGGACCGTCCTTCTCCCTAGCACACGAATATACTTGTCTCAACACAGTCACATACTCATCTGTCCTAGTCATTCTCCCTCTAGTTGTTTATGCCTCTGCATTTTGTGTTCCCATCTTTATAGAGATTTCCTTAATAAATTGCAGAGCTGCCGCTTCTTCCAAGTTTCTCACAGTTTATTGAGCTTTTCATAAAAGACTGCTGAAATGGGCTCCTGGCAAACAGATGTCACCCATAAGGAAAGTATCACAAGAGACTAAACAGCTAGAGCAATGTCCTACCTTGTTTTACCACCACGAGTTCTGTATGTGCTTTTATAAAATCCTTCAAAACCACTGGCTAAATTGGCCTGGAAATCAAATGCCACAGAGTATCTCAAATCAGCCATAAGTTTCTCTGGAACCAACAGTGCAATTTGTTCATGAGCAGGATAATGCAAAATGTTCAGCCTTTTCCCTGGTTTCCTGTATCTCAGATCTTCCTCTGATTGAAGGATGACATTCATGATTTCAAGATCTTTGCTATGCAAGATGATAAATTGGGTTGCATCTCTGACCAGGACTTCAATCTTCTCAGATGCAACAAAGTCCAGAGAGGTGAGATTTGGATGGACCAAGAGGTCATAGTGGAGGGGAACGACCATGCTGGGGAGCCTTAGCTTATTCCAAGGAAATGGTTCCCCACTGGTGGCTACTGGGAAAGCCCCAGGGTCCGTATTTAACAGATCAGTAGATGACATTGAAAACTGAGAACAAATGCATATTTTGGGCAAGATGGCTGAGCAGTAAAATCCCATGTAAATATTAAATATCAGTTTTCTGCATGAATTAGCCATTGTAGACAAATGGATACTAAATCATTCTCCAGAAGACAAATTAATATCCAGGCTAAATTGCATAATTCTCTACAGCACTGTACTAGCTCCAGTTACATCACACAGGATCCGAACGATATGTTTCAAAGATGGATTTGACCTAGGAGGAAAAAGAAAACATTTATAGCATGTAGAAAAAGAATTAAATTAATAAATAAGTCTTTAAAAAGTAAAAGTATTTTTGTGAATGGAGAAAACCTGCTGTTAGGATCAAGCTAAATAACCACACAATAAAGTAGAAATTGAGCTATCATTTAGTTATTACAAAAAAATCCTGTAGCGCCCAAATGAAAGAAAGGACTCTGCCTTAAAACTGCATGTATAGAATTCCCTCTGCATTCCTATGCAATAAACATAAGGCAGGTATATAAATTCACTGCGTGAATTATGTTTAATGATGAATTAACGAATTCACTAATGAATTCGCTAATGATTTAGTGAATTAATGTTTAAATGTTTTTAACATTTGGCTACATCATTCTAGCTGTATCCTGGACACCTGAAAATAAGCTGCACAGGTGGTCTCTATTTTGTCTTGAGTCACTATGAAACTCTATGTTCTTTGGACACCAGGTATAATTATTAATGGTGTTGAACTTCACCTCTTTCAATGAATAGCATCATCTGAATGGCTTTATTCTATGGCTGTTGGTGGAAAGGATGCTGGTCAAGTTCAGTGTTTACCCTTGGTATATTTCCAAAACATCAAAAGATACAGGAAAAAAGTTTGAGTTTCTAATATTCTTAGTGAAAATATTTATGTATTATTTCACTAAGGACAAGTGAAATAAGTCAGACAGAGAAAGACACATAAATACCGTATATCATGTATGTGTAGAATCTACAAAAGCAATGCTCAGAGAAACAGAGTAGAGTGGTGGTTACCAGGAGCTGTGCAGTGGGGGAAATGGGCACATAACGATTTAACAAGTTCTAGGGATCCAATGTACAGCAGTGACTGTAGATAATCATACTGTATCTTGTACTTGAATGTTGAGTAGATTCTCAGTGTATTCTCAAAAGAGTAGATCTGTAACTTTCTCACCACAAGAAAGAAATGGTAATTATGGGATGGGATAGAGGTGTTAGCTAATGCAATGGTGGTAATCATTTTGTAATATGTAATGTATCAAATCAATGCATCGTACACTTTAAACTTACATAATAATACAATGTCAGTTATATTTCAATAAGCTGAGGAAAATTTTTTTTAATTAAAAAGATAATGAGGGATGCCTGTGTGGCTCAGCGGTTGAGCACCTGCCTCTGGCCCAGGGCATGATCCTGGAGTCCCAGGATCCAGTCCTATGTCGGGCTCCCTGCAGGCAGCCTGCTTCTCCCTCTGCCTGTGTCTCTGCCTCTCTCTGTTTCTCTCATGAATAAATAAATAAAATCTTAAAAAAAAATATAATGACACTTTTCCTATCTTTTTTAGGTAAGCATTATATTATGGCTAGGAGCACCTGAAGGGTTCATTCGGTTGAGTGTCTGACTCTTGGTTTCAGCTCAGGTCATGATCCCAGGGTCTTGAGATTGAGCCCCCCATGGGGCTCCACACTCAGTAAGGAGTCTCCTGGAGAGTCTCTCTCCCTCTTCCTCTGCCCCTCCTCCTTCATCCTCTTTGTCTCCCAAATAAATAAATCTTTGAAAAAAAATTACAGCTACTAAACCTTAGTGTTCCAAGAACCTCTAAAACACAAAACCATAATTGGTCTATTACCTCAAATTTCTGAATGTTTTAAAAATGAAAATGTTTGAATAATTGCTTATTTGATAAGTCATGAGCTTGGGAATCAGAGTGCTTGGATTCTAATACTAGTTCCAATGCACTTACCTATATGATTTTTGGACACTTTTTTTTAAAGATTTTATTTATTTACTCATGAGAGACACAGGCAGAGGGAGAAGCAGGCTCCATGCAGGGAGCCCGACACGGGACTCGATCCCAGGTCTCCAGAATCACACCCTGGGCCGAAGGCTGCGCCAAACCGCTGAGCCACCTGGGCTGCCCAATTTTTTTTATTTTTTGAGTGTAAGTTTTCTCACCTTATAAAATAGTGTAATAATCATACTATCCTCACCTTAGGAAGATTAAATGAGATAACTCATAGGAAGAATTTCACATAGCGCCGCAACTAGCCTATACAAAGCACATAATGAATGTTAACTATTAAATTATTATTGTGATTATTATTACTTGAATTTTCTGGCATAAATTAAGGATTAGTTCTGTCCCTACTTGTAGCAGACACACTCCAAGAAAGCTGTATTTCATTGGTCAAGACTGGAGAAAAAGGCCTTGCTATTTATTCATACAGCCCTTGAAAGGCCGGCTGATAGAAATCTTTGGTGTCTGGATAAAGAACCTAAGAGTAAGTGACTTTCCCAAAATCACATGTGAAATTTCAAGCAAAATGGGGATGAATATATAGTCCTTGACCCTTGGTCTCGGGGACTTTCCTTTACATCCAAGAGCACTGCAGTGAACAAAAACATCCTGCGATCCAAGACAGGAATTGCAGCCAATGTCTGGGAAAGGCTAAAAGATCTCCCAAAGAGAGTGAGTCAGTAAAGCAGAGGGATTCTTAAATCAACTCCCAACCTTAACCTCACATACTTTGCAAGGCAGTAGTGCCAGATTCGCTCCCTTCGCCCAGAGCCTCACCTTACATTACAAGAGCTCCTCAATCTAGCATTTTTTGTAGCTTAAGTTCTAGTAATCAATCATTCTCACTGAAAAATTCTGAGCTTTAAGACAAAATTGAAGAGAAATATTGATGTGTTACCTTACTCCATGCTGTTGCAGATTTGAGTGAAAGGGAAGTTGCTTTTGATTTCACTTTCTATTCTGGTAAGACCCAGAACTTTGCATACTTCCTGATTACAGCACTGGCTGGTTCATTATGGTAAAGACGAATGGGGCTTCAGACAAGAGCTTTAGTCCAAAAGCACAAGACTTTGTCTTGCTTCAAGCCCTCCTCCATCATCTGTGATTGGACCATAGACCTATTTTGATCCTGCCCCCTCTCCAGCTTGTTGCTAAGCCCTTTTGATCCTTTGCTTTCAATCTCTTTGTATCCAAAGTTTAAAGAATTCCCAGAGCCATTCAAGTCGTCTAGGTCCCCCTTGCTCCTCACAATGGCCTTCAAACAAGTCTCCTTGACTCCTCAAGGCCTGGTCTGATGCCAGATTCATCCTTTGCACTACTGCTTGATCATGTCACCCCCCTGCTTAAAACTTTCCGTGGCTTCCTCCTATGTACACAGAGAGGCAGGTACCCACGTGGAGACCGTGGGGGGCCAACTGGCAGCCTATGTGCCACATGGGCCTTCTGATGGATGCTCTGTCCAGGTATTTGGTTTAGATCCTAGGGCATTAAAGGCCCACACAGGTGTTATTCTCAAGTGAAATAAAACCAGCTTGGCTTTTGTCATCTTACACACCTTCCTCATATTCTGGTGTTTGTACCTTGTCCTGCCATACATTTGATTTTGTAACCTGTGCTTTGGCTCAACATTCAATTCAAGTGCTGCTATTATTAGATCCTAGTAAACTCTCAAACTTTAATTTTTTTCTTTTTTCTATGTTTTTTCATGTCAACTTGGATAAACAATTTGATAAAGTAGAGGAGCAAAAGTCTAGGAGGTAGCCTACACCGAGGGCTAGAGGCACAGGGTTGGATGGAGCGCCTCAGCGTGGCATTTCCTGTAGCTAGAGGGGCACCGTGGCATGGGGAAGTCGGCTGGAAACAGATGAGTGCAGGAAAGGGGGCCAAAGAAGAGGAGGAACCGAAGGCCAACTCTTGGGTATCTAATGCTGCAGCAGGGGAGGGACGGGGCAAAGGATGGAGAGGAAGCAGGGGGTACTTTGGCAACATTCCTTGTCACAGGGCCCAGCTCAGTGTGTGTGTTCTCAGAATTCTTCTCTGCCCACGAGAACAGAAGGGATGGGGGAGAGTGAGGAAACAGGGTTCCAGGATTGGGCTGCAGAATCCTAGACAACAAAGTTGAGTAAGGTCCAGTGGGCTTCGTAGCTTATTACTCAGAACTCTTTCTCATCAAATAGGGTTTCTAATTAATTTTTTCCTGATAACAGAATAAGCTATGGGATGTTTGTGGCCCAGGGAATTCATAAATCTCACTCTTTCACTTTACCCTGGGCTTCTGAACTGTCCTCACTCAAACTCTCCTCATTGGCTCTAAAAGAGCACTCCTACCTGAGTCCGCCCCCGCCTGCCACCACCCAGCGTCTATCACCTCAGCCTGCTTAATTTTTTCCTTCTTAGTATTTGTCAACTTCTGATACTACATGATGTATTGATTTGTTTGCTTGATCTGTCTCTCCACCAGAATGTAAGCTTCTTGCAGGCAGGGAGTTTGTCTACTTTGCTCACTGCTGAATGCCCAGAGCCTAGAGCAGAGCCTGGCCTATCTGTTCATATCTGCTGGCTGAGTGAATGCATTTTCAATATTTTCCATTTAAAAAAAATTTTTTTTCAGATTGTCCTGTACTTTCTCCATGCTTCAGGCAGACAAGGGAGCTTTGCATTGATGGATGTGCCCAGTATCTCCCCATCTTCCTGGATCTACACTCTATGTGCAATACATCTCTCTCAACGTCCTCTAGGTAAACCTACCTATCACAAGGCAATAACCGACCTTGGAAGTGACACATGCCCCCTTCCAGTCCCTATCTACAGGCACTTGTTCAGTTAGTGCTACCCGCCCATATCTTATGTTAACAGGTTTATGCTTCGTATTCTTCCTTAAACAATCACTTCTTGTAGGCTAGGGGCCGAACACCATGCCTCCACCTCTTCCCTGCACCTCACAGGGTATTATGTACCTTATAGGCCGACAAACAAGTGACAATGAATGTGGTAAAATTATTTTTCCCAAGAGTTGAAACTTACCTATGTTCAAAGATTTTTACTAGTTTTTAAATGGAAACATTTCTCAAAAATATTGTAGAGGTTTCCATTCCCCCCTAGGGTGTTCTCAACAGATTTAAACTTTAAGGACTCAAGGTTTTTATTATTATTACAAGCTGGACCTAGAATCAAGAGAATCGAACTTGCCATCTTCTTAAAATAAGTCACTTCCTTATGTCCAATTTAGAGACAATAATACTTTCCTTAATTATTACAGAGGGTTATTGTCAGTGTCAGAATCAATTTGAGATCATATGTGAAAATCAGTTTATAAATGTTTTACAAGTTGTTTACAGGTTTTCTACCTTGATGATAATCAGTGATTATGTTATTTTGTAATAAAATGCTAACCTTGAGGCCAATGAGATCTAATAAATAATCTTGTGTTGCTATATCTTTTTGAATTCTTGTGAGTACTCTACAAAGGTTATTTCAGTTCCTCTAGTATTGTCAGATTTTTATTTACTCTCTATTGTTACCTTCAAATATCCCCAACCTCCACCCTAGGGCCAAGATTGTTCCTTCTAAAGTGCTACAAGCTGGGGGCTTTATGGGGGGCTCATTCTCAGTAGGTTAAGAGTCTGAACTCCGGCTCAAGTCTTGATCTCAGGGTCCTAGGATGGAGCTCCCACGGTGAAGACCCCATGATCAAGCCCCTGAGATCCAGCCCCACCTCCCACATGGGGCTCCCCGCTCAGTGGAGAGTCTGCTTCTCCCTCTCCCTCTGCTCCTCTCCCCTATTCCCTCTCTCTCTCCCAAATTAATAAATAAATCTTTTAAAAAGTGCTGCAAGTTGAAAAATGAACACATAAAGCCAGTTGGACAATACTTGAGGTGCTCAAATGCCTTAAAAATTATTTCTAATGCTGCCTATATTGTAGGTGGGGAGATTTCAGGATAAACTAACTGATAAATAGCCTCTGGACAGATGACATGTTCCTGAATCTCCCTGTTCCCCTTCTGTTTTGCTAGTGTGGCTGCTGAATTTTCTGCCCTTAACATAGGTACAGCTTGACCTTCATCAATACTTGATGCTGTCACTCTGAAAACCCAACCAACTTACAGTTTTGAAAACCACTTCCTCTTCTCTGTTTTCCATCTCTTTTCAAAAGGATCTCTGAAAATCTGTCGAAAGTTCTTCACAGAATTATTGCTATGCCTCTATTTATTTGAAAATAAATAAAGGCAAAATCTATAATATGGTTTTAATATTTTTAACCTAAAAAAAAAGTTTCTGATAGTACAAAGACCTAGGGTCTATGCTAAATAGAGAGAGAGAGAGAGAGAGAGAGAGAGGAGAGAGGTGGGGATATGGAATCCACCTAATAAACACATTCTGTAGTTTCTTTTAAACTCATTCAGTTTCAACAGAAAATGAGAAGAGCATAATGTCAGAATTTTAAACCTGTAGCTGACAGGAAGATGTTTTTTTAAAAATTGATTATCTTTAGTATGCCGTGCACAACGTTTATTAAAAACAAAAGCGGAAAAATGTAACAATAAACTTCTTACACTGCTGAAGTAGAACAGAATATTAAGCAGACCTGACATTAGACAACTGAAATTGTACAACATTTAAAATTTTTATTTAATAGCCAAATGAAAAGTTCTGGTGCTTCTTACTCTTTCTAAATATTACCTCAATAACTGATAGCACATTTTCAAACAGGAAAATGGCAGCAAAAGAAACCAGAGGGGTTCTGAGCTTCTTAAATGCTTTATTTTGAAAGGAAATTTTAATGCTTCCAAATTACACAACCAACTGATTAAACCAAAACACATTTCTTGGCTTCCTGCTGTTTAAAGATATAGCTTAAATGTCCATAAGAACTTCCACTCTGGCCAAGATAGAGTAAGGGCTTGGGATTTATCCTCTCACTTGGAACAACCAAAAAAAATGGACATAAGTCAGTTTGCAAGACAAAGAATGTCAGGTAACTGGAGGCAGCGATGACCCCAGAAGAGAAGGAAACAAATGAGGGCAGCCCTGAGATTGTCCCAGTTCACTGCTTTAAGGGATTCCACGCAGCTGTGCCTGGAGGGAGACCACGGGCAGATCCCAGCAGACATTTTCTGTTGAAGAGATGCAGCTGAGATTCTGGGGAAGCAAGGAAACTCGAGTTCATGGGAAAAATACCGAAAGGACAGAGCCCCCCCACACACACACACAGAACGTGCTTTGGAGATCTGCCAAAGGTTCCCCTTGAATGTTCAACTCATCATTGATCAGCGCCCGTGTTTGTGGAAAATACATAAGCCAGAGACACAAACCACTGGAAAGGAGTACAGGTAATGGTACCTGGCTCCCACACACAGGCAGAAACAGTGTCTGCGTCCATCAGTCCGACTGGAAAACCTCAAGATCAACAAGCCAACAAGTAGAGTACCCAGAGGGCTTTTGCCTCAGTAGGAAGGAGCAATCACCCTACATGGAGCATGGCTTCAGTCCTGTCTCAAAAATCTTAAAAGCAAGATCCAAAGGGATCAAATTGTTTTCAAGTAACTTAATTGTGTCCCAGGACAAAGCTCAAGAAGATTATAGCAATAATAATAAAAAAAATCACCACCCAAATAGGTACAAAGGTGAGTAGTCATTTAAATAAACTGTTGGTTTTTTTTTTTTTGTTTTTTTTGTATTTTTTTTTTTTTCCAGTCATTGCAGCAAGAGGGAATGCACACGGTGGAGACACCGGGGCATCTCAGAAGGAAAATGCTGGGAAGGACTTATTAGAGAATGTGTCAGGTGATTGAGAAGGGCTTAATGAAGCAGGGCCTTGTTTTGTTTCAGACCATCTCAGGAGTGGGGCTAATTCTGTAAACAGGTGTCTTAATAAGGAGGGAAGATTAGACCAAGGCTAAGGCTGTAATTTGTAAAGAGACTGCAGTCACTCCTGTTGGTCAGGATAGGGAGGTGTTTGGTCATTTTTGTG